TAGGGCTGAATTTGTTGTTCTAATACACTCAGCAAGTTATTCGACGTTTGACCTCATGCTGTGTGCGAAAACACGAAATGGTTCATTTGAGGGTTTCCTGCACTGAAGACGCAGTAGTACATCCTGGTGAATCTTTGTCAAGGAAGAGATCTACTTAAAAGTTTTTTTGCAGACCAGATTTTCTTTAACAATTAAAACGTACGAACAATCCATTTGGGTTCTTAAAACGTTTTTTCCATTAGATTTTGGTTATTCGGTGAAAGGCAAAATGACTAATTTCTAGCATAACTAGAATTTATCTTGAAGTGAGACCTAGATGACTCATTTGATGACACAAATATAAGTGCATTCGCTAGCAGTGGCTTGAACCAGGAACTCTTGCTCTAAACAAACTTCAGACTTTAGACCCTGACATCATTTAATATATATTGAAATGTAAACTGTCTAATCTATAAAATATTTTTTGTTTTCAGTGCTTTTCTCTTTCAGGCCCGTAGCCAGGGGGGGTCGGGGGGGGGGGGGTCGAAAGAACCGCCCTTTTTGCTGGGAAAAGGTTCACTCTGGGTAAAATTTGCTCTAGGTACATGATGTTTTTATGGAAAAGGTCCACTTTTTCAGAAAAAGAACCCCCCTTTTGAAATTGCTGGCTACGGGCCTGTCCTTTTTTATTGAATTTATGTTTACAGTGTACATGGAAATAAAATCTCAGCAGAGATGTGAAAATTCATACTATGAAAATAACAAACATACTGACAGTTACCATCAGAATGTTTAACTGGCGCGTCTAATAAAAACTACATGTTGATTTGTGTCAGATTTAATCGAACCATTGTTAGCGAACGTGCATCAATCAGTGCATGAGTACATGTATTAATTTTTATTTTGAAACGCAACGGTCAATAATTTAAAACAATGCCCTACCTGCAAACAATCCAAGCAACCCTAGAACAAATAGAAGACCCATGTTGACGGCGATCGTCCTGTGGGCTCAAACTGAAGTGGTGTATATAACGTGGGGCTGTTTTCTTAACGGCGTAAGCGGCCTCGGCACGAGGGAGTGCCCCTGAAGAGACGCAGATGCCGTGACGTAACGATTGTCTCACGAGAGACTCATGTCATAAAGGTGTGGGTCTGGAATTAAAGGTTATAGGGAACATATCAGTGATCTGATCGATCGCCAAAATATGGCCCAGCGAGTGATATAACTATACTGTATTTCAAAGCTGTCAGCTAGCCCCGCTTTTGATAGCATGTATCCGGTTTGTCATGCAGCTTTTCTTGATATCAAACAGCCTATATTTCCCATGTGTAGGTAGCAAATGTCGGTATTTTGACAAGTGGTTTAAACAGATGCCAACATGACATAATCCACCTTTCAGTGGACGTTTGTTTTGTTTAATGAAGTCTAGCTTTTTAAACATAAGAATGGTTAAATAAGGAAGTATAACACACTATTGGATTTATTGAAGTACAGTTCCCGGTAAGCTTGGTTCAAATTTAGGCGGTGTTGAAAATATCAACCATAATGAATGCAAATGGTGAAGAAATTCAAAATTTCTCTCTCGATAATTCACGTCACACTCTAGAAAAGAAAATTTGCTTCCCGCTGGACACAGTGTAGTCCCCGTGTAATTGTAAGAACTAAAATATTATTTATCAAATTGTTATCGCAGTTTTAGTACAATACTTATAGGTTGTTAGGTCATAGTCATTGTAGAATGTACGTGTACCAAGCAAATAAATAAATAAATAAATAAATAAATGGAGAAAACGTGTATGACAGTCCTCTTCTCCCATGTCTTGAGATAATTCTTAATGGTCACGCAAATGTCTGTGTAATTCTGTAAAAGTCACGAACCTAGACCACAGATAAACTGGACAGGTCAGAAAAGAGACTGGCCTGCCACTGGTCACTTGCGTGGGGTTTAAGGCTCATTCCACATGAAACATTCGTTCTACGTAGATCAATCCAACTCCGCGGGGACTCTCGCTGAATGCAATCAGACGAACACGCCTTCTTTTGTTTTCAACGCACTCGTATGATGACCATCTTTTCTGTATTCTACTCAACGTCAGAAGGATCGATTTACCTAGATAGTTTTTTGGGGAATGGGCCCTTAGAAACCATTAAGTCGATGAACACAAACCTGGGGTCTGGTGGTTGCTAGGTAGCTGGAGTAATATTAGAAGGTGGTGGTTTTCCTGATAGCCCCTGCGTATGTGTCACAGTGTATTATATATATTATACGTTTTCTCTTTGTCTAATGCGTGTAAGCCTTAGAATTTGGTTTAACTCTCTTTTTAGAACTTGACAATCCCCTCTATTAACGCCTCTACATGTATGTAATCCACCCTGAGCTGGACACAAGTTAATATAGTTAATATCTAATGTACCTTTTTACAATTAATTATAAATAATTGTAAACCGCTTGTAAACAGTTAATGTATTTTTTGTTTTACCTCACAAAATAAGCAAACACCAACCAGGTAAATAATGAAAAAACGAAAATTAAAAACTGGGTCATTGAATCAATATATCCACGTGTCTTCAAACCATCACGTGCCAGTTAATTATGATAAAATGTGGATGGAGGGATAGGAAATGAACAGACATCAATAGTACCTAACCAATATATGTTTTACTCTTTTATCTTTTATAGTCAAATAACGCATTTTAGGAATGTTTTTTCTGCACATTTTTACCGCGATTCGTTGCCATCGACAAACGTGAGGAACGTTTAATTTCACCTTGGTCGCAAACCTGTCATACCGTATAGTATTCCAATACAGCTGAAGGTTTTAACAATGGGGAATTCTTGCACTTTCTGGCATTGCAAGGGTTTCGTTGCGTGTAATTTCTAGCTTTTTATATACTACCTAAATGTCCAGGAATCTCTCAGTTTAGAAAAAAATTCGCCCCTAAAATTGCTCCTTCGCAATTTTCTCTTTCCTGATAATCGTCGCCCATTCAATGCGTCGCATAGAGTAGTTATCTAATGTTTAAATATATCCATCATATCTAAATACGATAAAAGCTATTAGACCTGTGAACCCAAGTTCATGAGGCATCGTTTATCGTGATATGCTGCAAGATGGTAGAGCTCACACGCATCTTAGATTGTAACACGTACTGCCAAGCAAACTGGACACCTACAGCTACTATGGAGGACTAAATTAACCGTATGACATTAAAAGACATATATATAGGCCTACTTAACTTTTTACTTTACAGAGCATCCAAAACCCTTCCCAGAAGATGCTTAAGACATGAAGATTTTGTTTTATGAAAGAAATTATTAGAAATATAGAAATATCTGCACCGTTAATCTCTGTCTCCATTCTATTTCAGGTTTTCAAAGACAACTGTTCTTGGAGATCGGGTAATAAATCACACCTAACGCAATTCCGGCTGGAGAAGGCGGCGGAAGATGCGGCGCTGAGAGGTGTGAATTATGCGTAGTCATATGCATGGTGGGTGGTTGTATAATGAACTTCGCGCCGACAGAATTTTCCTACACCTAGAGTTATGAATTATTTATATAATAACTACATGTATACATTTGTTTCATGTGCATTTATTACAATATTGCTATGTAAGTAAACCTACTGTACTTGTAACCCTATGTGGATGCCATTTTACAGAAATTGAGTCTATTTGCATATTAACTTAACTTTAACACCCATCTTTTCTGATGAATCATCTGGCCATAAGTTATATGGTTTCTTATAATCGCTGTTTTCACCCGGGCATCACATAAATCGCCTGGTAAGTGTCAGGATTTCCTACGGCAACGCAAATCCTGAAAGTATGAAACTCATTTATTGGGTAATTGAAAAGTAAACCATAATTCTCTGAAACTTAGTTGACACGTAACACAGTTTCATCGATTTTTCGAGGAATTCATTTGTACAGAAACCTCGACACTATCGGCCATTGGCTTAGGTTTGGTTTCTTATTTTTTCTTTCCACAATGATCACGGAATGACCTAAATGCGACATTATTGAGTACAGCATGAATAGTTGTACAAGTGGTTGTACGACGTGAATAATTGTTCTGAAATTTACATTTTGCACATACACATATCTTTAAAACCTGTGATTTTTGTTTTTGTTCCCACACATTTCATTACAATCGACGAGTTTCAGTTTGACATTATCTAGACTTCGACATTTTTTTTACTTTATAACCTCAAACAAAAAAGGTAAACATTTGCATTAATCTCATTGACTCAAGGCAAATGACAACTCAGCCGTCAGCCGATTTATACAGTGTTTCAAGGCAGTGTGCCTCGTACATGATATATTGTACCACTTAAACCAGTAACTGATGCAATAGACCCATTCTGCCCAGATGACAAAGCTATTAAGCATAAAATTGCATAAGGTTTAAGTGTTTTGTATTTGCTTTTACGTAGAATCTGTCCTCAAGCCGTAGATACGGAGTGCAAATGTCGGTAACATGGGGTGGAATTTTCACCATTTAAAAAGCCACTTAAACACATATTTAGGATACAAACGTAATTTTGCATCATTGCCTTAAGTCTTTATTATTAGCATGTAAATTCATTCTTAATTTAAGGAGCTAATTGTGCTATTGCAAAATCAAATATTATAGGCTCAATCGACTACTTTTAATGGAAGGCATTCCGGAAGATTAATAAATTTTAATAAAGTTTAAACCATATGAGTCTCTCCTCGGCAACCAATTAAAACACACAACAGTCTAAGTTCAGATGATTTTGCATTATATTGCCACAAGTACACGGTAACATGAATCACGGTTCACAAGTATGAGCTCTACAGTGAAACCTATGGCCTACAATTGGCATTACATTGTTGTTTGCTGTCTCAAATACCAATATTTGCTGGCGCAACTCTATTTTGCTTTTGAGTTTGAAAAACTAATGAAATGTACCAATAAAAAACTAGCAGGTTGTGTTTGTCCTGTTAATTAACATGCGAAAGGAAACAGCCTTTCAATTGATGTGGAGAACACAGCTCGGTGAAATGTATTGATCGTTAATGTAACAGCCGTTGGTTAGGAAGCGGATGCAAAACCCTCGTTCTTTGCTTGGTGAGAGTTTGGGTAGAGTTTGGATAGCTTCTAACCTAAGCTGTCATTGCATCAACATAAGTGTAAACGAAGCTGCACTTGAGGACAGAACTCTTGAAGGCATAGCAGAAGCTGGTCTCGATTGGCTGGTCTGAAAGCGTACAAGAATATTGGTTCTTCGGTTTTGTTCGTGAGGACAAAAACGCTCTCAGCAAATTCATTATACCCGGTACGTCTTGCAGCAGCAGCTGTATAACAAACATAACGTAACTCCGCGTCATAATCGAGCTTCTTTGTTCGATATCTTGTGAGGCCACGGAAGTACCACCTTGGTGAACTCAGCGTGTGGCAAAAAATCAAAGTTTCCAAGGAAGAACCTGTCTGCTGCATATCACAACGATAATCACCACTATTCACAGACCTTGGATAAAGATGGAAGACAAAAAATGCAAATATGTCAAACTTGTGCGGGACCAGTGTCTACAAAAGGGTGTTGGCGGCATCAAAGCGCTGTCCGTTGCCTTCCGTCACATGGACGTTGACTATTCCAAAGCCATATGTCTGGAAGAACTTAAAAGAGGACTGCAGCGATACAGAATTAACCTGAAGGACGAGGAGATTGAGACGCTGTTCAGTACGCTAGACAAAGACCAAAGTGGACAGGTAGATTTTGCCGAATTTATGATTGCACTTCGACCCCCCATGCCCCAGGCCCGCATTGACGTCATCAACGAGGTTTTTGATATGCTGGACACTTCAAGAGACGGAAAACTTGAAGTCAGCGATCTCAAAGGTAGGCTAAACGGTGCAATTGGGCGCACTATTCCGCTGGTATTATCTAGAAATCTAGTTGTTGTTTTAATCATATTTTATTCTTTTTACGATCTCGTATCATGGATATGATATTTTTTTGCACCATTGCAATCTAAAAGCATCAGCAGTGCTGTTGTATTGCCCAAGGGATTTATTTTGGTCGGCTGTGAACAGAATCATGATGTATCTAAATCGAATTAGCGTTGATGTACATGTTTATCAGACATTAAGAATCACTTTCCGTCAAAGCCTCATTCACTCCCTTCTGGTCACCTTTGAGAGTCGGAGCCCGTGACATTTATACTGAACAATTTCGAACCTGGATCAATTCCGAACCTGCGGTATAACTTATCACACCTGGGCATTTCGAATTTCTCTCCAGAGAAAAGGCTTACATTGATTACCAGGTACATGTAACAGAAAACCATACGGACTTTCTCGAAGCTGATTCTGTTATGTCTACTTCATGTAGTAACCATCCATACAGAGAGGGATAACTAGGCGCATATGCACATCGTTTTAATCATGACGTCACGCAATGCAAATCCGCCGTGTTTGGTTTTCGCTGCGTTTTCACGTGTATTGTACTGTATGCTTTTTTTTTTTTTTTTTTTTTTTTTTTTTTTTTTTTTTTTTTTTTTTTTTTTTTTTTTTTTTTTTTTTTTTTTTTTTTTTTTTTTTTTTTGGACTGGAACTTCACTGCTTCAAAGTAATTGCCATAACAAGGGTTATAACGTTTTGCACTGTAAGCACCGATGGCATTCCCTATAAATGTACAAAACACGGTGTTGAAGAACAAGCCTACCAGTTTTGCCCGTATTTTTCACATAACAACACGCTGCAATAGCTTTCTTTTTGATAAATTCTACGGGAATATGAATCGATACCAAGAAATACCTGGCGAAAATATTCCCTGATTGTATTGACCAACTTGACTTCAAAACATTGTGGGGTGTTTAATTAAGTGACGTAACAACGTCAGATGCAATGGATTTTACAATTCATAACTGCATTAAAGCGCCCATTAAATTAACACATGACAATTAGTGTTGTAATATGATAATTTACTCGGCATTAGGTGTGATACAAGCTGAATCTAGTCCCATAATGTAAGTGCTCCATGAAGTCAAATATTACTCTTAATTCCAAGACCAAATTTTGGTCTATTTTTTTAATTAAAAATTAGGTTTTTGGGTCTATGAAAAAAAAAAAACACAACACGAAGTGTCTCATCGATAGTTTCCAGATTTTTGAGGGCTAGACAGATTGATTCTAAATCGAAGTCGACTGTATTTTTTTTTATTTCATTTGTACTGTAAAAACAGCTTTTAATTTTAGTTCTTTTATAAACTGGACTTGGACAGCCCACATTTCTTTACTCTTCTTCAAAAACATGGTTCTTTTCGTAGTATTATAGCTGGCAATATTGTTCTTGGCCAGTGTGTTGTCCTGCATTTACTTTCCTCGTTTAAAAAAATATGGACCCAGATAGAAAGACCAATTTTGATACCCACTGATAAAAATGTGTACTCCACATGAAGTTTACACGCACTAATTGTAGAATATGACTGCTATAGAATTTTGATTTTGTACCACCACTTACATGTACAAAGTATTATTGCGGATTATATTTCAATCTTTTGTGCAGTGATAAAAAATGCAAACTGCATCGATCTTTTTTACTTCAAGTCCAGGTAAAAGTTACTTGTTTGTGCAAACTGCATCATAGATGTCTTTGTCATTAACATTTACCTATTGACGTGCTTTGTTGGTAGTCTATTCTTATCCTTAATTAATTGATTTATCACCATTGGTCCGTCTACTGATGGAGGCTCGTCGTTCTGTTTGTATGGCAACTACAAATTAATGTCAGATATAAAAACGACGGTTAATGATGTTGATTGTTCAGATTGTTGTTCTAATTGGTGTTTCTTAAATTAGTGACCACGCTGAGGAAATTAATTGTATAAAATAATAATAACTTGTCTGGATCTTCGATCCTGTTTCCTATAGAGCCTAGTGAGTTAGGATACGAAGTTGCAGACTTATTTTCAAACAACACAACTGTATTGACGCGTAGAACCATGCAATAGCGTACTCGTTGATTTTCACGAAATCGTTTTAATTTGAGCACAGGGACGCAAATACGAAGACTAAAATTCCTAATATCTGTCTGTAATTCGTTTGTGATTTCGAAAATCAGTGCTAACTTCTTGACATCTAAGCCGCTGGAGATTGGATAGAAACAGTTACCTCAAAATTAGCAGAAAATGACTTTTTACATGGTATTCAGTAGGGAACAAAGATGGGGAAAAGATGGGGCTGTTTCTCCATGCGCTACTGCTGAGGGAAAAGGAAAGCGGTGGGTACGCTGTTCCTCCGAATCTAAGGAAAGCTGTGTCTACACTTGGATCCACCATTTAAACATTTAATCCTCTTTGCATTGTACACATTGTACATTGTACACCCTTTTTACAGCGCGTATGATGAACAAATTTACATAGCGAACAGTAAACTTGGCATTTTATACATTCTCCCCTACCATCTCTCTGAAAGGTCTTGCAGCGTACACGGTGGCGTGGGAAGGTTAATCTTTAAGGCGCTATGTCTTGGGTATATAAAAAATGTAACTGACATTTTCAGTGATGTGCTAATACATCACGGACTCTTAAAGAGATAACCTCATCTCAAGACTTGCCAGGTACCAATTACATGTATATATACTCCCCTACCCAAAAGGGGCACCCCTAACGCAATGCGTAAAGTGATACAAAAAATCATGTGATGAATCAATGTTCTTTATTCAGCTTCTAATAAGAATTTTTTTCACAAAACTTTACCGATTGTACTGCCAATGAATGAAATAACAATAGTAAAAAAATCAAAGCCACATTTCAGTAATTTGTGCAGCATCTTCTTCATTGGAGGACGCACCTGTCGTGTCTGTGAGAAGAGTCCAAAAATTTTACATGTTTTTGCAGTGATGGTGTTCCACATACGGAAAGATAGTATGAGATCTCTTTTTTCAGATTAATCCTTCAGTTATCCGTTTCCGAAGATATTTTACACATTCTTAATGAGATTCTGATCAAGGGATCGAGCTGGCCATTGGGTGGGGGTGGCGGTGTGTGTGTGTGTGTGTGTGGGGGGGGTGGGGGGGGGGCTGGATCTGGATATAACCAGCCTATATATGCTGTTCACTGTGTAGGCATAGTCTTATTTTTCCTACATATACATTGCAGTTTACAGTACTAGTACAGTTTGCATGTATATGTACCAGTATGTGTACATGCTGGTATACTGACTACCATATGTATGTGAAATTGTGAACAAAATATTTCTCTTGAATACTGAATACGCCAGCGGTGAGTGGTCAGTTCCGAAGGTACATTTTATACAAGCGTTAACTTGATCCTGTAGCTTGCTTCAGTTTTAAAAGACAAATACAGACATTATTATGGAAGATGACATTTATGGCTTTAGTCTTTAGAATAAATCTGTTATTTGTTGTACTCGACTCACCGGCATGATGTTTTAGGATTATTACATAAGACCGAAATGTACATTTTGTTGTACATGTTACTAGGAAGTCAGATTATATGAGACAAGTTAACACACTTGACGCATGGACGGCAACCTTTTAAAACCACACGTAAAATATCACGTTTAGAGTACGTAAAGTGACAAACCAGAAAATTAAAATTCCAGAGGCACATTAAATAGGAGACGGGTGTCTTCCTTTGCTGTATCTTTATAATTGCTTTAATAAAGACAAGACTCTCTGTAAATTTTCTCATCACAGAATTGATATCTTAAACTAACGTGAAATTTCCGCTACCGTGCCACAAATAATCCACAGGAAGGAAATGGTATTCTTATGTGCGATAACTTAATTTCCCACATGAAATAATCCGTTTTCTTGATTACTTCAGGTGTATATTCCCAGTACGCTCGCAAACACGAGAACTACATTAAGGGAGTATGGACAGAAGACCAGGTGTTACGTCACTTCCTGGATGCGTTTGATTCCCCGGATGAGCCAGACGGTATAGTAACCAGAGAAGAGTTCCTGAATTTTTACGCAGGGGTTTCATCAACCATCGAGGATACATGTTATTTCGACTTCATGATGAGACAGACGTGGGGCTTACCGATGCGGCGAAAGTCAAAAGCAGGGAATGCAACATAAATCATTTATGTTAGATTCTCGCGCGAAAATTTAAAAAGATCCAAATCAGATCTAGAAGCGTTTTTACTGTGAGCACAAGTTTCAAAACATGTGCGTTTATATGCACATGTCATTTTATTCTTAAGCCTTCCCTTCTTATCCACCATTAAATTGTTTATATTTCAAAACTTGGTTGGTAGTATGGGTACTTGAAAGAAAACGGGGGTATATTACGGTCGTTGCAGATAATCCTGCTAATGTGACAAATGTACATAAATCTGTTGGTGATAAAGTTTATTTGATGCTGCTATAAATAACAATACGTCATGGCCCTCTTGTATTACTTTGTATTTATGCAGCCTTTATATCGTTTGGATTATTGTGAGCCCGATGATGTGAGCACTGTCTAAATTATTCAATTGTGCGCACGGATCATTTTACTCCTTGACAATTTCGAAACTCATTGTGATGAATCTTTGAGCACGCTTTTATTTTTTTCCAATTATCTGCAAGACAATATCATATTAGTGTAGCACAAAATTGTTCATATTCTCCTTTTCAGTCATTTTTATTGCAAAATAAGGCATCAGAGGAGCAATTTGTCACATTACATGCTTGAATAAAACTATTGTGATGATAGCATTTCAGTCTGTCATGTTTTAAAAGGAAAAAAAAGAATATAATAACACTGTTGGGGATTCTTCTAATAGCCCTCCATTAACCATGCGCCGTAGAATTATTATAAGAGCAGCTTTATTATCTATTTATGCCTTAATCTCAAAGTAAAAGTGCTACCAGAAAAATCACATTTTATTTAATAAACAACTAAAATTGCTTAAATTAAGGTTATTATTATTTCAAAATTTTCATCTGAAAAAAATTGGACAATTTTGAAAAATGTAAACATAGCAGGCTCAAAGGCTTACAAATGAATGAAGGAAGTTTTGGGTGTTAAGAAAAAGTTGTTAGCACCCACCCACATGTATTTTAATCCAGAAAAGTAATCTTCTTATTCAAAGACACCGTAATAACACTAAGCTTCACCTTTCGTTTCGTGGGTAATGGTGGGTAACAAGTGCCTAACAGTGTGTAACCTGGGTATTTTGAGAAAATTCATCATGGCCGCGCTTCTTGCATTAAAACATACATGTACAATAACGGCTTTTACTTTTACTAATAACGGCGAGTCGCAATGTCCAATATCAAATGAAGTAATTTTCAAGGTTTTCCACATCCTTATTTTTCCCATTATATATATATCTGCTGGGTAAAAAGCGAGTTTCCATGTGCTTTTGGAGAAATTCCAAGATGGCCGCTATTTTCCATATGGTAACATTGGAATAAACTACTTCCAGGGATTTACATTCCCCCTTATCAAATTACTTAAGAGGTATCTAAGGCTCCAGATTGAGTTAGTAAGTAATGTTACAGGACGTCTGTCATATAAACTCATTTTCTCCTCAGTGTTGTTAAGCACTGTGCCTCGGTGCAAGGTCTAAATTATAATAATCACATATCCCAGGTTGAGTCGTAAAAAAACATAAAGCTACCGTATTTATTTATGACATATTATTTAGCATATATATATATATATATATATATATATATAAATATATATGCCTTGAAAAATCTTAACTATCCAATCATTATCGCACATTGACCCTGCACTAGAGTGACGTCATCCACAGCAACCACGCCCTTTCCTGCCTTGCCAACTTCCACTGACATACTTATCTGTAATATATGAAAGAGATAAATGTAAAAACAGCATAATGTGCCCTTGTTCATCATTAAAAATTATTTTCTTCAAATTATGTTAATTATCTACGCCCACACAGGTTGTATAGTTCAGAAAAAGATGAAACAAATTTATCAAATGCATCATAAATAATGAAATATGGTAATGTGTAGAAAATCGTCTTAAAACGTATCCTTACTTCCTTTAAAACACTGGCTTTATTACATAAACAATGACAAAGAAGAAGGCCTACATAAGCTACTGACAGAATAACACAGTACGCTATCTGTCTGCTAGAACTGATGGTCTTCAGTTCGATTACAGTTTATCTATTCAGCTACCTTCTTGTCAAGAAAATAATCGATATACTGCACCAGTGGGTGTATGTTACACGGGCAATCATTAACAGTATCGGCTCTTTTCACTTCAGTGATTATAAACAGTTTCATTATATCGACAGTACCCATATCAGAGTGTTGATGTGTCAAAGTAAAAAGTGAAGTCTGGTACTTAAATATCGCACTCGAGTGTGGTTTACAGTGACAATATGCCGCCATATTTTTTGGTCTTGATTCAGACTGTAACCTTTTATTCTCACCTCCCACGGGAGGATATGGGCTAACATACAAGCATTATCTTTCACTGCCAGACCAGGCACTTTACCCCCCGCTTCAACTTATAAGTGCAAAATACCAAGCACGGGCAGACAGCAGATACCGCATGTCCCCGGACGGGGTCGGACGCACGTCCCGCCGCAGTGCAGCGCATATGCAATGTAATTGATTCGACTTTTATAATAAGACCTTTGAATAGTAAAACTGTTTCTGTAGCGCTCGTAAGAGAAACGTATTTTATTTTTTCCCTCTTGTAGCGACAATGCGCAATCTATTGATCTTCCACATTTCTTTTTTCATTTCCTTTTTCGTCTTCATTCCATTCTATTAATCAATTTTTTAACTATTTGCGTTTCATTATCAACAGCACTCGTTATATTGAGAGACCGCCGTTCATTGACCATGATCAATGCCAGCATAGCGACAATTTGGCTTACCTTAAAGGGTTCTTTGCTCGTCAACTGAACCCCTGCCTCTCGCCAGTTGGTCGATGATGTTCCCTTGGTCTTCCACAGCGTGGTCTCCGGACTGGTATTAGTATTCACCAGCACACTCAGGGCACCAACATTTGCGCCGTCCGTATAGTACCAGAAATGAAAGCAGAAATCGGTCTGGTTCACAGGCAGCATTGGGGAGGATATTCTTGCCAATGTGCTCGGTTTCATCCCGTATGTGTTAACGTAAGCATAATACCCTGTAAAAAGACATGAATTTGGTGACGATTATCGCCACGTCTATTATAAAATAACCGATAAGAACTTTAAATATGAAATAAAACAATACTTCATATGCAATGAACATTGACTTATTAAAAACAATATAAGTGACGGCATTCCTTATTCAGAAAGAATATTGTTATTTAAACGTAAGTAAAAAAATATAAGCAGATGAGACTCGCTATGATTGCTGTCTAACTGCCTTGTCACTTATTATTAAGAACTTTACGTGGAAAAACATAAATGCAAGCAACGTTTAGTCTTCAATTATACCATTCCTGCGACTTAAAATGACACTAAACAACGAAGAACATTCCATAATTCTCCTACCTTTCCCCGTAGTCTTGTCAACCATTGGACCGCCATATTTAATTCCTGTCAACGCGCCGCGCGTCCTGCTCCAATCCACAGTATTCTGGGAAGCCTGAACCCAGCTACAGAAGTCAGTCTCGAAATCGCAGTCCACTTTGGTCTGAGTGGCCTTTGCTATGTTCGTAAAAAAAAGTGTCTGCTATACTCTTAGTGTTATTCTACCGTATTACAAGCAATTTTTATCGTATGTGCTGATAGAAGAGTTCAAAAGAAGATCATTTCCCTACAAAACCAACACAGATACCAACGCTGTGATAATGGTTTTGTAAGAGGGCAAATTTGTTTTCAACCTTCTGAAAAAAGGACCAATTGCTTTTAGACAGTCTGGAAAGTGCATATGCATTACCTTGATTCGTGGAGTCTGAACACTCTCCGTCGGAGAGAGTGACGTCATCAACTGCAATATCTCCTCGGTAACTATCGCCGCGGACTCCTTCAAACACCAACTATCAAAGGATAATAGTACATGTAGTTGTAGATATATCATTTCTTTATTCGTCATAATTTACAAAATTCATCAACTAACAAGAGAGAACAAAATCAGCTCCTCTCCATTATACACGTACGGAAGGGGTATTCGATAAAATAAAATACGTACAATTACTTCAAATGTCATGTCAGGTATTTCCACAGAACAAGATTGAATTTTATTTTAGGTTTCCTGATTAACTTTATAAGCTGTTGCCAGAAATACCAGAAGTACTCAAAGGTATGTGAAGCTTTCTCTTTGAACAGAATGTATAAAATAAGGAGGAATAACACGACGTCACACAGTAGATAGCACCTACATGTGCGACTATACGTGACACATGTAGACAAAAAAGTAATCAGTTATTTAATATAGAATATATCTTCGCAAACTAATAAGGCATTTATTTCAAATGATTGTGAGGTATAAAATATGCCAATCCATTCAGTCAAATGTATCATATGCGGTTTATATTTTGAAATTAATTTTCAGTGGACTCTTAATATAAATTCTCTAAACGTAATTTACCTGAAACACTTTAGCGGGCGTGAGTTGTAAGTTAGCCTTCTTCCAACCTTGACCTTGGTCACCTTTCTTTGACCAGACGATTCTCGGTTTCCCGCCGAATTCTTGTAAAATCAGGTTCAAGGAGCCCATGCCATCTCCATACATGTTGTAGTAAAAGCTGAAACACTTTTTGCTGGTTCCCTGCAAAAAAGTTTTGCTTTCTGAAAGTCGTGTTTTATTCCTTTTCTCCGTTAATATAAACATTTGATACATGTTTATTAGCAGAACAATAAGTTAGTATTCTAAGATGGTAGAGGCTTATAGAGGTTTAAGATATACAAATCAAAGACGAAAGCAACGTGCATAAAATCCCAAGGATGACAAACGCAGGATATGTGACGAACACCTTTAATGAATTGCACTGAGGTTATAATTGAACGATCCCCCTGACAATCACGTCATTGTTATTATCCAAGCTGTAATTAAGGTTCCAGATTAGGTAAGGTGGTATTATTGGAAAACACTAAAAAACTCACTTCAAAGTACGGCGAGGCAACCTGGGCAGTGTCTCCACGGACACGAGGACTGGAGGTTTCGATATAGATGTATTGGCCTATGAATATTACATGAAACAGGAGTCAGTTTTGGCAAATATTTTTGACCAGAAGTTGGTCTTAATTAATTCTAACACCAGTAATTATTATCTATTTTCATCAGTGGTGTTCCAGTAGAATTAAATATTTCACATATTCTAATTTAGATACAAAAAAAGCTTGTGCCCGAGATCTATACGATTTGGCACTCAACGAGCTAAAGGTTTTAATTTTTTTCATAGGTACATTTGGATGAAAAAACAATTTACAGTGGGATACGTCTTGTTCAATTCTTTACAATATGACTTGCTTCGGCAACCTGTCGAATTCACCTGAAAATACTAAATTTTAGTACAGCGATATAATTAAAACATGGATTAATATATATTCTGCGTCTTACCTTTCTTGCAATCTCTCCTGTCACACTGTGGACCTGTTGCTGAAGACCCCGTAGTTCCCCGGATCAGCGTCCAGTCAAATGTGTCGTCTGCTGCTTGGGTCCAGCCACACATGTCCTTATTGAAGTCACAAGTGTGGATCGTTTGTAGTATTATACCTTAGTAGGTAGGTAGGAAAATAATAAAGATGTGGAATCTAGGATTTGGGTTTAGGCAGACAGTTCTGTCCACATAAGTCATGAGAATTTGGTTTTTTTCTTTTTTTTTAATTTTTAAATCTGTTTTTTTCAGCAAATGTCAGTTGAGAAGAAGCTGAATTATAATACATGTGATTTGATTTGTGAGCCATAAAAACAACGACTGCTCGAATTATTGTATGAAAATATTTCAGTTACATGCAGGAGTGCGGTATGAGCATAGGGCAATTATTGGTATAACCTACCAGCGTTCCATTTGCCTTTGTTTCCAGTCAATGTTTTCGGGAAGAACAGCTGCTTTAGAACATCGGTTTCACTTTCGATATTGATACAGCTGGTCAATAACACATCGTCTAAGGCGATATCACTTTTAAAGCTCATACCCCGAACAGCTTCGAGGACAATCTGCAAACAAGAGAAACAGTTGAGTCCGTATGGCAAATCATATCAAACTGACCCCCCCTCCCTTCGATTTCTGAAATTAGAATTTTGAAAAGCTGAATCAAAGTTCTAAACCGTACCAAATGGCACCGTCCGCCCTCTTAAAAATACCTTGAACGTTTCCCGTGGTTTTAAGCGTATAATAGTCGTTTTCCAGCCTGGACCCTGGTCTCCAGTTATGGTCTGTAGTGTTTCGTTGCTGGCGCCCTCTATCATGTACGTGATCACTTCCCCAGCCTCGCTTCCGTACATGGAATACGCAAACCTGGAAAAACACGAGCGATGTCAATAAACCCTCCCAAAGTGTATAAAGATGATATTATTAATTGTTATACATGTAACACTGCAACAGCGAAGATCAGAATTATATGCGCTCCAATATCCATGTGTCTAGGATAATTTAAATTGTACTTTTTTCAATTTTTTCTAATCTTAAAATAGTTGCCAAGTTGCACATTAGTGTTTACTTATTTAATTTCGATTGTTTGATTACATGGGCTCTTTATACATGTATCAGTTACATGTATGACATTGGTCTACGTATATTTATGTATGTACGCACATGACAAAGTCATCAGCAAATGTAAGTCAACCCCTAAGATATGTTCCATATGAATTGCAAAACTCACCAAATTGACTTGCGTCACCCTAAATCTTATTACCTAAGACAAATGTCCTGGGCGCCCAGCGGCTTGTGAACCAGTGGCGAGGTCAGTCTGGCTCGATGACCACGTGCGGACGGCTCGGATGCCTCCAAGTACAGGTAGTGACCTAAACATATAGTACGTCAAGTTTCCGTGAAAAAATGTATGGAGCATACAAGTACGTTACGTATTGCAACCATGTGTAAAGCAACCATGTGTAACCATGTGTAACTTAGATTTGTCATTTTATTTTGACTTGAAAGTGGTAGGACTTCATGTGTGTGTGTGTGTGTGTGTGTGTATGTGTGTTTGTGTGTGTAGTTAAAATTAGATACAAGGGCAGGTTTCAATATACAAAAGTATTTTCGGATGAAAATGTTATCTTTACTTCAACTGAGGATAAATCTGTAGTAGTCCTCTGACATAAATGAAATACTGGTCTAAAATCTCTTTCGCTTAATGATATTCCTCTTAATTCGATTACTACCGTAAAAACTAGGATGAAATACGGTTACGAGTATATTGACATTTTCAGTGTGGTTTTAATAGGACCCCACATTTACCTTCTGATGTCTGCAGAGTATGGTCAAAGTCCGGGCCTGTGTTGGCGCTCGGTGTCGCCCCCTGTTGATATGTAAAGTTTTGTTGGTCGTCTGCTGTGTTTTGCTGCCAGCCGCAGAGGTCCGGAGTCTCAAAATTACAGTATGAGATGGTATTGAGAGCGACTGAAATGTAACACCTTGTTTCAAAATTGAACTGATATTGTCAGGCAAAATTTAGTCTCAGTATGAAGACTGAGCAGCCACTTTATTGAATTTCGCACGCTATGATATAAAAGCGACGTTTTTACTTTCTGTTCTCATTTTTCTGCAAACGCTTTAACCTTTATTTTAATTTACACTTAAATTAGTTTGTAAAGTTATAAACGACCTCGTCTGGAAGCTCCCAAAACAATTACATAACTGATCAGAAACGACAAAACGGCAGGATACTTCAGGCGCCAGTACAGGCGCAGGGGCAACCTATACTGAAATGATTCAATAGGGCTTTGGTTAATTATAGTGGTAATGGAAAATATCATCTGAGATTGCTAAAAAACGAGGCCACTGACTTTGCGTGACCCTTGATATGAGAAAAGAAGACGTGAAACAGTCCGCCAGAGGTAGGGTTAACTTTTCAGTAATAAAAAGGGTACAACTCCTTGTGCTTGGCATATCGTCTTAGCAATCAGCTATACAAAAGTGTCACGCAAAGAGTGGTGAATTTGCGTTGTTGTTGTGCAGTGGACTTTAAGTCGACGGAATTTAAGAGAAAACAGCAATAAAAGTACCCATAAAAGGGTACTGTCAGTTTCATTCGAATCCAAACTGCATTCGAAAGCCATTGCCATAATTTCTGATCCCATTTTCCTCCACATCCCGCGAAATTTCGCTAGAATTTATACGAAAGCCCTCTGAGATGACTCCCATTGTATCTTTACTAATACTTACGTATACATTCCGGCACTTTGCCCGACCAGATTCCGGTGTATGTGCACCAGCGCACGCGGCTGCCCACTAGGAGGTAACCAGGGGAGCAGGAATATGTGACGTTAGAACCGACGGTGAAGTCGTCCCCGTCCCAGCCACCGTTAACTGGAATACCGGGATCACCGCAGCTCCGAATACCTGGAAGATGGCATGAAAATTTTGGTTGTTCTCATTGTCTGGTTTATATATAATGTATGTCACCGATCATAGTTAATTTTAAGTCAGCTTCATTTATCCCGTTTTATCATCAATATCATCAAGTTTTTAAGTTACCATAACCATTTTGTTATCAGTAGTAGTAGAAGTAGTAGTATCATCGATACTACATAAATCATCATTTATATATTTGTTTGTTTCATCACTTACTGCAGTTATACAGAGAGTTAATTTTATAGATGTCTACTTGGCTGAGTTTTTCCCTCTGTCCCATGGACCTGACGGCTTCCGTCACGTTCACTTTGGGGAACAACGTCGGCATTGAGGGGTCTATAGCAAATGTGTTGATTTTATAGTGCAGAATGGAGCCGAAATCATAGGGGGCACCCAAAGTATTCACCTGTTCGGGGTTGACTTTTTCGAAGTTCTGTTTGTGCTCTGAAATGTAAGTCACCATAGTGAGAAACGGTTAAAAAAAGATTGCACACCACATTAGTAATATTCTCTTTTTTGTCTGGGATGCAAAAAGTATTGGTAGAAAAAACTGCAGGCGGCGTGGTATTTGATATAAAATATTTAAATACGTTGCTTCATCAACATTGAGACTTAAGATCAGAAACAGTGTAGCTCTTGTTCACGGAGATAATAAAAGTTAATGAAATGACGATAAGTAGAAATTGAATGATAATGATAATTATTATTAACATAAGACCACTGATAAGTATTTATTACTTCATTGTGTATTATCCCTCAGTTGTAAAACTGCAAATCGATGATAATGGAATAATTTGTAGTAGAAACAGCATATTGCGGCAAAAAATATGCGCTTAACGAGGTTTTTTTAGTCCTACCTATTTGTATATTATCCCATAATACTGAAATGTAATCATCCCTGTCTGAGCGACTCTGCTCGTGCCAGAACCCCAGCGCGTGCATCAGCTCGTGCATGATCGTGCCTGGCTGAAAACACCCCTCTGTGAGGGAGACATTCTGGGTACCCCCTCTTTTGCCAACCTCACTGAAACACCTAGTAGATGTAAATAGAAGAAACATGAAGTAAGTATAGTGAAAATTTATCCTATTACCAAAAGTCCCTCGTGTATTTAATTTATCAGCATGTTCAACATAGCTTCTTGGTAAAAATGTGAAACACGGAGTTTCGACCCTTCATCAAACGCTATGACTCACAAATACAAATAAGCCTCTTTTAAAAGATTTACTTTTGCGTCATCTTTACACAAGAATAAAAATATAATATTATTATAAAATTAGCGTAGATTATGATCATATATCAATGAATTTGAGGTCTGATGACACTCAGTCTAACCAGAAAAATGGAAACAATAAATCAACAACAATGTTGGATGAAAGCGATGTCTTGGAGGGCATTGACGTCTAGGCGTTAACTCATATAATAAAACAACCATTGACTTTTGCCCAGCAGCGGTCGATATCACTTTTGTGAGGGCTGCAAAAATAATTGACCTCAACCAAAGTCAATACAGTGCATTAAATATTTATGAATAGAGATAATGAAATACCAATCTTACTGATGTACTCTATTTTCATAAGAAATATACACATCAGCGTATACGCAAATGTTTTTTCTGATATATACCCTGAAAGCTGTCTAATGTGTATGTAGTCAGATTCACTGGCTCGTGGTTTAAACCGCACACAAGTGAGTTGATGGAACTGGTCCATGGCCGCCTGGATAGATATTTTCACGTAGTCAGCTGAAAGGGTTTAAGACAAAACTCTTAACAATATAATATTGAATTATGGGCACATATTGCTGAAAATTTTCAGAATTACAGGCAAATTTTCGATGTATAACTTTAGGGAAACAGAGAAGAATGCAGAGCAGTAGGGAGAGCGCAGAGAGCAGAAAATTTTATCGGTTATGGTCTCATTAACTTACGGAAGGACTCCTCCACGATGTAGGGGACAATTCGAATATCCCACACCTTGTTCCTGTTGTTAACAGCATTTCTCTGACGCCAGGACTAGAAAAAAGTTGAAATTATAAAAAAAAATATTTAGTGCGTAAGACTGCTGTCAACAGAACAATTACAAAATTTATCTTACTTAATTTTTAATCTTTGTTGACAGAGTGTCAAGAGATTTGAGAAGTGAGGCATCCAATATATAGTGCATTCATATTGTAGTGGTTGACAAAAATCACTTAATTAAACTCCAATTTCTACCATAGTCAATGATTTGGTTGGAAAATAACTGCTTAGTACATGCATTTATACAGCGACTTGTGGAGTTGTTTATTTTTACATTGTACTACATGTATATAAGGGACGAGCCTATGAGCTGCATCAACACGTAACAGTAAACTGCACTGACGTTTTCAATTTGTAAGTTAAAACGTTTGTACTCATTTACAATATAACCATTTCCTTCACTTGTGTATCATCATGAATAAGCACGTAATGATACTCAAAATATAACCCTTATTTATCGATGCCCTAGTAATACGATACAATCAGTAATCTTTGAAAAAGAAAAGAATTAAAACACAGAATGTGTAACAAGGAAGTTGGGAACGCCATCTAAGGTTAAAAAAGAATGAAAAGTGGATAAAACTTAAAATTGCCCATATAACACCACTACATGTGCTTCATAAAGGTATCCTGCCGACATCACCCCCAATTTATATGTATTTGAATAAAAAGCGATTAGTGGGTAGGAGAAATTTGCTTTTCTACCTAGGCAAATATGTTTTTTGGGGAAATCCCGAATGAAATACCTATGAGATAAAAGACATTTTACTTACAGAGTCCACCAGTATGTCTCCCTCCACCAAGTTCACATCAGTTACGCCATTATTTTCTTCCGGGTTTTGCTCAATATCTTTGGGGCTTGGTCGCCACTGAAGAGAAAGATTCGAGACAAGTAAACATCAGTTCATTTCATTTCATGTCTTCCTTTACAATACCGGTACAGTAGGCCCGTCTTGTGGATCATGTCGCCCAATGTTTCAGGCTTTTAAGACAATTTTACAAATTATTCAGGTATATTTGCCTCATATCAAAATTTAAATGCAAAATCTGTATATAAAACTTGGCTTAATGCCTTGTTAACATAATGTTTTCTGAAAAAACATTTGTAATACAGCAGACCCTGTATAACTGGTGATACTTAAAATTTGATCTATCATTCATTTCGAGAAAAAAACTTTTTTACTAATTATTCTTTGGTTTTAGTTTTCTACTAAAACTAAAACTGGTCCGTTCAAAAAAACTTACTTGGGCCCAAAAAGTAAAAAATTATAAGCCCATCTTTTCCCATTTTCCAAGAGAAATTTCATCATCGGACTATATGTTATCAAAAAATGTCACAAAGGTCGGTTATTTCTTAAAATGCATTTTCTTAAAATTTCTTAAAATAAATCTATTTAATGAAAATAGTCGGACATATCTCACTCGAATCTGTTCAACAAGAACTGTTGACTAACCCTCCATCCCCGCACATTATCTAAAATTCTCTGACAAGTCCATAGCAGTACACATAGGTATGCAAATGTTGTTTGCCGGATTTTGCTAACCGAAGCAATATTTCACTATCAGTACCAAACAAACATGAGGTAAGATTTTTTTAAAGTCACTAATGGGGTTTCAACCACCCACGCCAGACCTCCACTCGTATGACGAGGCGATCAAAGTCAACATTCATATTTTAACAGATGGCTGCAATTATCAGATATACGTGGAAGTAGCTCAGAAATCAAATTCTTTCTTTGTTGGCTCATGTATAGAATTTGCCCCCACCCCTCTACGCTCCCAAAAAAGCACCTCTGGGCTACGGTAGTTAATTGCTCTTGTCCAAGCATATTTTATAAATATATATCGCAGTACGGAAAAATATCAGTGTCCTAAGTCGTCTTCCAAGAGTGTGTCTTAAGATTCAACATCATGTACCTTTTGGTATTTTATTGTCTTTTATACAGCTTCATTATTTTGTATAAGTGCCTGGCTCAATTTTGCTATCTCATCGTTGTTGAAACGTGTCAGGTATTTACCTGCACCACTATCGTAATTACCTTCAATATATAAAGGAATACATAGTGGATGACGCTAAGAATGGTATTCTATAGCTTGCTGCACGTCTAATATCAAATTGTGAGCACATATAAACTCATAGAATTCAAGGATAAACAATGTGTTATTATCACGTGCCCAAACAAACAAAATTATAAACCGATACAGGAACAGACGGTGTACATTTTAAGAAAACCGACATATCATGAAATGCTTATGCCACATACCTGTATTGGAAGACATTGGACTTCAAATGCCACGACTATAAGTATTAGCAATGTGATTTTTGTGCTCATTTCTCTATAGTTTCTGTTAAGTAACAGCGGAGAATGCTAGGTCGTGTCACTGGTCGGGATACCAGGTAAGTGTATAAGAAAAGACGCGTAAACGGTGCCTAAAACAGGACAAGAGATAAAAGCGATATCAAAAATATTCGCACCTTTATGTCCCGCCATTCCCCTTTAGGGCATATCAATACGGAATGTTTGACTGAGATAAGTGAAAATTTTCAAGTGGTTTTGTTTTCAAATTGAAAAGTCGGTTCTTATCTCAGCGTTTACCTTTCAGTTAGATTTGACTGTTTGTAAAGCAGAGGGGAACTAAACCGGTGTTATGCGTTACAGCTGAATGAAATGGTTGGCAGAAGCACTGCGCATGTCCTTATACAATATAAAGTGTATTTCAAGGTGATATATATTACAAAACAGGTTAATCCCTGATCATGCAATCACATTAAAACCAATTATTCCCATGAAACTGCAATAGTTTTTTTCACACCCTTTAACTGCCGATCTTGACAGGCACGTGGGGCAACTTAATGGCACTTTTTTTAATGTTCAAAATACAACTTTACACCGGACTTCCTCTCATCCACGTCTGTTCACAGGTATGCGCGTGGGAGGCGTGTGCCATGGCCCCACACGTGCTAGCCTCGTGTGAATAGACATATGCCCCAAAGTAGGGGAAACCGATAAGATTGTGCGGCATGGGGCGCCGTGTGTATTTAACATGAGGATTAGTGGCAGGATCTTTTGCTGGAGTTGGTCAGGAAGAACATTCACATGCAAAGGGTGGGGTAGGAGTGTTCAACATTACCCTGGACACTGATGCCAATACTACACAAATATATAATGAACCCATGTGTTAAACGGGGACATACTTTAATTGAGTGGACTATAGTACGAAATTATCGTAAACAGAGGTAGGCTAAAATCTCGGTGTTTAAGTCAAGGCCAAATTTTGTGAAACCTACCCTCTACCAGGGCGTCAGATTGACTTTTCACAGGATATTCACAGATATGTCTTTAGATAAATAGACGGTCATTTTACTATTTCTGATTTTCCCTATATAATCTACCACCCTGGTAGAGGGTATGTTAAACCTGCCCCAGAGATGAAGGTATGCAGCAGCTGGTTGCCTCAGTGTGATCCCGCTGGAGCACCTAACACACGGGTTGGTTGTCGCACAGCAAATGCATTACGTAGGTCTTGCCTTACCAGGAGCTGTCTACCACGGGATTTGTTAGCCCAATTATTGGATGTGTCAGGTTTGTTCCAGACATCGTAACAAGAATTTAAACCTATTGAGAAAAATAAAAAGTCATTAAAGCTCACATATGGCTCGTATACATCATAATTCAAACGAAAAGTCATAGCTATTTCGTTCTGATAATTAGACGTCTGATGTCACGCTAAAACTACACTTAATGCTTTTGAATTACACTCTTAGTCCAATAAAGCTAAGATTTCTATGTGATGTTATTTTTGTTGACAATCAGTATCTTTTTTGCTTCTGGTTAAAAGGGAAACCATTTTTTCTTCTTGTAACCCGCTGCGTTCGAGGAATGTATGTAGGCTTACTATAGATACAACTAGACATGACATAGGAGACATTGTTTTCTGACATATTATCTCCCTTGGTCGCTTTATTTTGCCTTCCAAGTGCGTTCGTTTAACTTTGATGCTTGTAAAATTCAAATTGTGAATAAAGATTGAAAACTTATATATATATATATATATATATATATATATATATATATATATATATATATATATATATATATATATATATATCACAAAATAGATTAAAATACCTCCCCGGTTTTCTGTGGTTTTTACATAGTAACACTACCCTTTGGCCTCTGTTTTCCTATCTTATGCATTGATTGATAACACCACCAATAAATACACAAGGTTCAAAGTTCAAATGCTTTTATTTTCTACGCACTATGCCATGTGTCAATGGGCGTTTGTTCCCACAGCAATGTGATGCACTGAGGAACCTTCAATGATTTGCAAAATGGATGTATCCCCTTGACCTCTGGTTCTTGCTCAATGGTAACGACTTTTCCAGTCGGCGTTTGCATTAAACAAGAATATTGAGACCAATAGAATGATTTCCATTGCAAAGTATTTCCTGGACGTTAAATGAAGCAGTCCTTCGTTTTTTAAACCGATTTTATGGCTCCAATCAAACAGACTAAGCGTTCTCAATTTGTTTGATTATAATAGCAATTGAAGTAAAAAGTAGAGTAAAATTATGACCTCTGTAAGTCAATCGTTGGAAGAGAAACTTCAGACAAACATGTAGATGTCGAAACTATCTCTCAAATTTAGAAAGTGAAGCCCCTATAAAAGACCACCGAAGAGGAGACCAATGTATCTTATGTCTGCAAGTTTGCGGTCCCCCTTTTAAAATCAGCCTCCTTTTCGGGATACTGGGGTAAGCCACATACGCTGCTGCAAAAACCAAATGGAGACCGTGATTTGGGGAGACAGCTAGCGTGAATTATGGGATAGTTCTCGCAACAAAGCTTTTGCCCTGTTGGCAGGAACCTCGGTCTGAGTAGGGACAAACTTTTTCCTGGGCGAATGCTGAAGAAATTTCACTGGCCAAGCAAATCTAAACAAACATGATGGAAGCTTGTCGACTTTTTCTGCTCCTGGCCTTTGTTTTGACAGCATCCGCCGTGAGTTTGGAAAGGCAAAAACGGGTGAGTTCTAGCAACACATCTTTTGTTTAAGTTTCAAATTGTATTGCAATTTATATGTGGCAAGTCACTGAGAAATGTTTTTTTTTTCTGTAAGATTACATAATTTTGACAAAGAATAAATTTTCTTTGCTAATTGGGAGCAATATACCTGAATGTTTGCAAAGTTTGCTTCACAGTGAGAGTGGATGGACACATTACACCATATCATTCGCTCGGGCAATTTGGAAGGCAGGTTCCAGATGGTTATAAGTTAAATCAGTGTCTGGGTCATGGGATATTTTAACGCTACTTCAGAAGTGGGATATACAACAAGGAACTGTTGTATTATGTTTACCATTACTAGTGTAGAAAAAGCGCAGGGCTCTGGTTCTGGAGAATGGAATTTCCTGATTGGCGCGCACCCATACCAATGTTCACTTATTGTTGGAGGCAATTTTTCCTTAAAATAATTTACTTTTTTTGAATATCTAAGTAATTAATTCTATTTTCACGCTATAATAAATTTGAGCTTTTTGAATGAAACAGGCGCACGCATAAATAAAGCGAGCTCAGCGTGATTCGACTTCATGGAGTGTGTTTGGTAAGGTCTAGACTTTTTATCTCCGAAATTACCGCCGACTGCCCAAAAATTAAGGTACAAATTGGTATTTATACGAACAAATTGACAGCACGTCGTTCTGGCTAATCCAACTCAACCGACCTCATAGGCCGCAAAGGGGACTTACAGCAGGAAACGATAGCTTCGCAGTTACACGGGCAACTTGACTTTTCTGTTTTTTGTTGACCTCGTAGAACTTAAAACACATGCATCGGAATTTTGGGAATGATTTTTAAGGTGTATGTACACAACAAAGCGGCACAGAGCTCTTTGATATCCACGTGCATTCTCAATCAGCGCCGACGTAAAAGGATCAACATAAAATCAACCATTGTCTGAAAGCATTAGCGAGACTCAGAAGTTAGCATAACAGACAACGCACGTCTTAATGCCTGGCCTGTGTGCAGGAGACGTTACTTTTTCCTTTGAACCATGTTTACAAGATTAAAACGCCTTCGTTCACTAGCAGCTACTTTGTGTAATTTTGTTTAGCGTGATGTATGTGTGTCTCCTGCAGCTGTCTCTATCTCCTATTTACTCAAGCCTAAGATCTATGTAGCAAAAAGCCACTTTCAGAACACGATAGCAAGTCAGCACATGATTCGCAAATTAGGAAAAAATCTGAAAAAAAGTTAATAAGATTATGACTCTCCTCGAGGGCAAAAGTACTGTTAGTGGTAGGTAAGGCAATGCGTGAGCGTTTCAAATAATCTCATGTAGGAGAGAAAAAGCAATGAGGGCGGCGGGTAGGCAGGCTTTTCGATGAAAAGTAACATATCCATTGGCGTCTGTATTGTATTTCTCATTAACTGTAGAGAATTAAGCCACAGTAATTTCTGACATATGCTTACTGACTAACCTTTTCCATAAGTTTCACAGTTCAAAAGAATTTCAACAGGGTTCGAATTAAAGAAAGACTAATATAATACTTTTCATGTTACCAGCCTCTCTGTAACAATTCTAACTATCTGCATCTTAGTCTATGTATTGAAAGGTTTTTTTTTTTGTTTTTTTTTTTTTTTTTTCGTTTTTTTTAGTTTTGTCAGAACAGACTGAATGAATGCGGAATTTTATGCTTAATACTCGTGCAAATTTACACGCACCTGAATTTTATCTTGCCTCGGAGGATTTGGTTGCTTTGAGATTGGAAACGGTGACGGATCGCAAACGGATCTCACTTAGGATATATATATGTGTGTCTGTTGAAACATATATAGCGAGGCCAGAGGTGTCACCGTTCTCTACATATTAATTTATCATATTTATTCACCATTCCAATAAAAATTTACTTGCGTACATGCGGGAAAAGTTGTATACATCATAAACTGGCTGCTTCCGATTCTTAACTTTGACCCCGTTATTTAAGTGACAAAAAATATCAGGTGATATTGAAGCAACCATGTTAAATTTAGATTTACGCATGTGGCACACGTGTCCGTTGTTCCAGAGGTGGTAGGCAGGGTGAGAAACTGACGGCACAGACAACCATCTTACAACCAGAACTGCAGTCATTTAAGCACGGTCACTACGTTTTTTCTTCCAAACGATTGACCTTCTGCCATTGGACCAGGAAATGTAAAAATTGAGCAAGATCTTTAGTTCATTTTAGTACTCTTTTGGTGCCTTAACTTCAACCCATTCCTTTGATTTATTTTTCTTCTTTTTTCTTTAAAAGCCTTTTTCGTAACGAACTCCCGCTTTGACAGATTATTATATTTAACACGAGTAATCTGCTCGCAGCTTCTGTTTTGGGGTTTGGTAAAAGGAAAGCAATGGTCCAACTGCTTAAATGGATTTTTAAGCGTAAACCTGTCCGTTTGCATTAACTCCCAGTGCGGTGAATGGGTATTAACCCTAAAACTAGAACCCATTTCAAGCACTGTAGGCTATGTACGCGTCAACTTATAATATGTAATAAAAACTGAGATATTGCTGCAGATGGCGACCGAGATGAAATGTGTTTGCGCTTGCAGGGGCATTATCCCAGATCCGAAGAAAGAAAATAATTTTGCAAATTTTCTGAGGTTTTCAACAGTTTAGCACTCCTAATAACCACTCTTAGAAATGATGTATAATACTTTCCAATACTGTATGAAAGCATTCAGACAATTTGCAGTCACACTCATACCTTGTATTCTCAAATTCGAGTAAGAAAAAGGAAAAGTAATTTTAACTAGGCAAGAACTTAAAATAATTCTGAGTATGGAAAATAAAAGGTTGGAAGAAATTTTCGCTTTAAAAACTAATGGTCAGGTTCTGCTTTTTTAGCAAGTGGGACTGGAAGGCCCGCGAAATGAGGTGGGAGAGGAACTCCCTCCACCTATATCGGTTGACCCGCCAGTGGACCCACCTGTCGAAGAAAAGGAGGACACGGATACAGAGGAAGAAGTGAGACCTGTTGAGGAATTAGAAGAAGGTGAGATAGTGAACTCAGAAAAAAGGGAAAAAATTCACCTGTGTGTAAAGATGAAGAATCCTCCATGGTCGACTAGAGTTGACTAGGACCAATTTTTTTTCCTTTTCACTTTTCTATTACATGCCCACTTGTTGCGTCTCAACTTCGGCATCGTTTGATCGAAACCAACCGCGCCAATTGCAAAGTTAAATGCTTCATACGCCTTACAACCCAGCCACGAAATCTGCATAGCTCAATACGAGTTTGTGATTGGCACGGTTAACTTAAAGCTAAGCTTGACGCTTCATGAAAGAGCCCAATAAAGATGCACACATGGAGGTTTGAAAATCAAGTAGCTACCTCGCACTGCATCCGAAACTCAGAGTCGACACGACTTCCCTAGAGCAAATACGATTTTTTTCAATTTAGTATTGTCGGACAGGGCGCCGCCAAAGCATTAATGGAACTTGATTTGACCAACACAAATGAGGAAATGAAACTTTGGAAGGGTCAGGTTTATTCGCGCCGAGTTTCATAGAAAACTAAAACTAAAACTCCCTTCCCACAGATTTTAGATCGATCTATCCCTGTGGGGAGTCTCACTAGATTGCTGCAAGGACGTATATTCAATATACGTCCTTGATTACTGTCAGCTTAGCCGGCTTAAGCGTCTGTCCCGCCTAGTATTAAAAGCTGTAAGGGGGTAATTAACTGTCGTGCGCGCTCGGCTGACTGCAATTTAGCGTGGACCCCCAGGGAGTTAGGTCGATCCGGATGGATCGATCTAAATCTCTGGGAATGCACTCTAACATCTGTTATCAACATGCCCCTGCCATTCCCGGCTGTACTGGAAACGGTCAAAGCGTGCTTGTTATATAGATTAGCTTCCAGTAATGTCTTAACTCAGAGTGGACTTAATAAGTCTTATAGTGTTTGTGAATTTATTATTGATGGCGTATCCAGCAGGTACTCCTTTGGAGGTACGACCCTGTCCTCCTCCCTCCCCCTTCAAAAATTGTTATAATGAAAGTATAAAAAAAAAACAGCAAAAACGAGCGAATGAAGACTTTTTTAATTACACATATGTATAACGGGAGTAAATTGCCATGTAAAAGCATCATTGTGTTGAAAACCTTCAGAAATAAGCCCCTGGACAATGTGTCAGTTGCAATGGGTTATTAAGATAATAATATTATAATGTGTATTCAGGACTTGTTTTCGATTTTAGTTGTGCCAGGTGGCCTTAGTGAGGGTGAAATCACGTCACTAGTATCTGCTCACAACAAACTGCGAGATGCAAAAAGCTTGCAAGAATTGGTAAGGATACATTTCTTTTCAATAACGCCGTGACTTCATTTTATTCTATTTCAGATTTATGATTTTTTTTTCTGTTATGTTTTACCTTAATTCGTTATGGTATAGTAAATATGATAGTCATTAAATTGGGAAAGTCCCAACTTCACTTTTGCATTTAGCAAGTGTAGTTTTGCCGTTCCTTCCTTGAAAGCCCTACTCAGAGAGAACGAAAGTGGTGTATCGTCCAAACTACACTGTAACACGAATAAGCGGAATACATTACTGTGTTTTTCTCACTTTCAATAATCCTTTTACATATAGGTAAATAAGTAAAAGGTCAGTATGCTTTAATTATAGACCTGGAGCAAGCCGATTGAGGTCAATGCTAAGATGCTGGTGGATTGCGATGTTGAGTGGCCGGGACCTCCGCCAACGTATACTAACTTTGGGACCTTCAAGGTACGTGGATCTTTTACTTGCATAGAAATTTTGCAAGTATGATGGTCTGACCGTTGACCAGTTTGTTATATCAAATTTTGGTCGGCGACAGAGGCCACAATCTGAGAGATTTTTGTTCCAAATTTTTTGTAGATTGACAATTGACCCAGGATGAACTGATTTGATTTTTTATCATTTTCTATTTACCAATTTTATTATTATTATTATTATTATTATTATTATTATTATTATTATGTTAACAGTGTTTGTTCTCATGCTTTAAATAGTCATAGCTAGGGTATGTCTCTTTGAACATGCAATCATAAGATTGTAATATGACATCACAAGAAATAACGTGTGTGCTTAGTTTCTCCTATGCAGGATATATAGTGAAATCTCTTTAAATACAGATAACTGTCTTGTAGTACAGGCAAGAGAAATTCTGTCTATTATTTTGTTCTTGCTTTTGACAGTCGGATGTTGCTGATTTGGTTGCCGGATGGGGAAAGGAAGACATTGACTTAACCAAAAGTGCTCTGGAGACCGGCTGTAGGCCAAGTGCTTACGGTGGCTTCAATTGTAACCATAACACAAACGTAAGTATGGATTATTGAGACGTTTTTTGTTTTTGAGAAAGTCAAATTTAAATTTTGGGAGCTACCCAAAATATACATTATGCCTAATCAGTTTCTAATTTTCATTTGTTGAAGTTATGACGGAAGCGACGTTTGTGTTGTCGTAAATAGAATTGAAAGACTGAAAGACGTAATCACTACAAGACTACAAAAGGAGACATCGTGTCGTTTTCTCTTCTTTCAATTAATATGTTAGCATGTGTTTTAAGATGCAGACACTGAAAGTGTCGGTGCATAGAATGTCTGCGATGCCCTTTTCCCAGATGTAGTCGAAATATATTCGTATTCCTGTGAACCATTTCTTTTTACTAAGATTATTAAATCCAAATCCCTAAAGTCATCACATTTCTGTGTGTTTTTTCTCTTTCGTCATTGTTCTTATTATATTTGGCGGAATGACGGAATGATCAAAAAGCAGACCAGGTTCAAAAATTGAAATAATTGGATTCTTTCCGAAAAAAGCCTCGTTTGGGCATTTTTATGTAAACCGTGTGTTAGTTCATTATTCGCCCAGTGTCTGCTGGTCCAACTGTCCCCTCAAGCCTTGCCAAGAAATGTTCGCACACGGTCTAAATGTTCTTGACATTTTAATTAAGCGAGGATTCCACACTTTATCTAGCACACCCATACTAAATTTGGTTTTTTGAAAACTTTTCACTGATGCTCTGACTAGAGTCATGCATGTATCAAAGGCCATTACTGGATTTAAGGCATTAAAGCAACAGATTAAAGTAGCGCGGTCAACAATGATTACGATTTCGGTACACGGGGAGTGGCTGAATTCCGGACAAGTTGTGTAGATTATGTTACAGTGAATTCTCTACCCCCACAAGAAAACTTTGTACTTTCTTGGGGAGTATAAAGGCATTTCCACATGCACCCCTGTTACAGGGTCACTTATGGTTAAAAAGAGAATACTGGCATTTGCGATCCTTTTCGTAGCTTCGTGATCTAAATTTTGTTTTTTTTTCCCCAACAAGAAGCTAGGATATTATTCTCCTTGCAATTGATCAAAGTAATCTAATCCACTTTGTCTCTCACTGTATTGTTTGCCTTTGCTGAAATGCTACTGTGCGCTCTTTTTAATATCAATAGGGCAATTCTATATATTTAATACGTGTATATTTTTTACTTAGTTAATGCAGCCGCATATTCGCCGAATTGCCTGTGCAGCCAAGGAGTGTGACGGTGGCGACAGGCAGCTCGTTTGTGTCTATGTGTGAGTAGCCTATAGTTATACACATTCAGTGCTTATATGCCGTATATTTTTCTTTGTAAAAAAGACAAATATGGTGTAAATATGTAATAGCGGATGACGTAAATTATGGTAATGAAAAAAAAGACGTAGAAAGATTTAGTATTTTACCCAGTGGTGGAATAAAATGACGCAACTTGCTCAGATTGACATCAAATAGCAACCTTACCAGCATTCATAGAACCTTATTTCTTGTTAGCGAATGCCTGGATTAAGTGTATTAAAAGAAACATAAAACAAAAGAGATGTTAGCTTTTGTGATGAATATGACTCATGAAACAACCATTTTATTTTGCAGGGACTACGAAGACATGTACTGGTATGGCCGTCGGCGCCGTTGAATGTGATAATTGAGATACGGCAGTCACAATTGCGGTAGTTGAGATTGTGACAGTTCAGTCACAATAGTAGACGCTATCATAGGGATGCTTACCGAATGCTGTGAGAAAGACGGTTCTTGTCCTAGCCAATGATTGTGTATAATTGTAAAATAACACTTATGTCAACTTTGATATTTACTCCATTCACTTATTGCCAGATCGAGGCTGAAGATGAAAAATCAAACGACAATAAGTTTGTACTCATACTCACGTTTACAAAACCAACAACTACAGCAAGTAGTTTTTTTTACATGTACGCTTTATAATAACAAAGACAGTAGATTGTTTTCAGTATATCGAATTCATGCACACAGGTCAGAGAAGCATATTATATTGACTTGTATTATTTAAAAATCAATATATACAACGTTGTGATACCAGTCGCTGACATACCTGGAATTGGGAGGATTTATTGATCGAAAAAGCTTTTAAATGCACGCGCCATCGTCATAAAGTCACAATTAATAGAAGGATTAAGGTGTATTGTACTTGTAGAGAGGCGAGAACGGCCTGCCACCATTGTCAATAAAAGATACTTTTACCTTCCCCATTCTCACATTAGTCGCTTTTGATCAATCAGGATATTGTTAAATGACGTGTTAATTTTCCAGGTGTATCAATCCCGCTGTTGCCATCACACTTCAAATGTGTCGATATCTTGTGATACATGTTACTAACAACCAAATGATACCTGCAAACAAAGGGGATCGATCCTCAACAATCTATAGTGTGCGCGTACCTGTGCAGACCTGGCTACACGGAATCCCTTTTTTAAAAATCAACGTTGTCTAGCGGGAATGGATAATGGCGGGTTTCTACAGCTGTGGAGGCAAGAGTGCAATGAAATACACCACATTCTTACTAAAGATAATCAAAAACGACCACCAAAAACTAAGGTTAAAAGTAAAGATGTGTACTGTTTATTACGTGCCTTTAAATACGCGTCAGATTTACTAAAAAGATGTTTCTTAAAAAGCAAACACCCCATTCTGGTCTATATTATAACGTCACGAGTGATTTCTCTCTCTCTCTCTCTCTCTCTCTCTCTCTCAGTTTGCATTTTATCCTGATATAATGTCGAGAAATGGACAATTCCAGATACTGCTTGTACATGTAGATCAATTCTGCGAGCCATAAGGAAAATAAACTGGTTCGTTAGCGATAAATTCGCATCTAATGAGCGAAATGGTTGCCCTTGACTTTGTTTATGAGCATATAAAGATGTATCAAATAAAATGTACACAATCAAATTACATAGCGACAACACGAGTAGAAACAACTCCCGTACTCTCTGTTGCGTGACGCCTGTTCGTTAGGATCAGATATAAATGAGGTTCAATGTTCGGGCAATGAATGTAATGCTAAGATGAGTACACTTGAGAGTTTACTGGACTTTTTCATTAAGATATAAACCGTGTAATGCGCCCGAGTTCGCCTCATTGACAATGGATTCAACGGACTGTAATACGGAAACATGATAACGTGCTAGTACAGAGCATATGGTACATACATGTTGATATCGCTGTGAATTGATACGAGGAGAAGTCAATACACTCACCCCTTCAGTATGATCTACAACTTGTCGGTTTTAGGGACACACACATAAAAAAAATGCTGACGCACCCTGAGTTTCAGAGAATAATGGGAGTAGGCGTCTAGCAACTTCATGTCCATGTACGTTCGGTTAAACTTTGATACTCAGGGCGAGGTTGACCCCCATTCCGTTTAATTCAAATATATCAGCCAGTGTTGTGTCCAGTATTGGTTCTCTGTACTGGAAATTGACTGACCAAAATTTTCTCGACCGATTTAGAACTCCTTGTTTTGATTATATTCCGCATTGTGCAGTTACGCGTTGTTCAAAGCTCTCTTATTTTTATAGAAGACGAGTAAAATTAGGGTGATATGCTTACTATTCGTCATGAAATTATGAAACAGCTTACAGGTAAGTTGATGTAACATCAATAAATTGGAAAAAGATTAAGTATGTGCTTTTTAACAAAAGATAGTAAAATAACATCCACTACGTTATTATATCGATCAGTTATTTACACGTAGAAACCTCTTCAAAAATTACACTACAATTTTGTTAATTTATCATCATTTTTTGGATTTTTATTATGCAGTTAATTGGAAAAGAATTGGTATGTGTTTGCAGACAAAAGCCCATTCCAACCAACAGTGTGCCACGGAGACGAACCCTTTGATCTTGTGGACCAGTCCAATTATTTCAAAGGTCGAAGAATTCAAATGGCGACTCTGTCAAGGGAAATAACTCCTCCAAAGTGACATTTACAACGGCATTTTATCAAGCAGTAGGAAATTTGGAGCGAATATAAACTCTTGTTGTATTAAATGTATCACACGTCTGATTTAATTCGTATCTTTTCAAGTACGATTTTGATATACTTGGATATGATACATGTATATCCTGTAGTATCGTTTACAAACGTCCTTTTGTATTAACATATCTATTCATTCGTGTATTCATTGATTTACTCATCTAATCATTTATACATCTGTATTTTTACATTTTTCCATTCTATTCGTTGGATTTATTCCATCTCATTCATTTAACCCCATCTTATTTATCTTTCTTTCTATTGGAAGTTCGAGATTTTCTCAGCGTAGGTCGGTCCCCAGGGAGTCTTGTTTTGACTCACTTTCAGACAAAACAAATTTTTAAGACAGCAGCAGGCAGTATATGCTGTCTGGTCCTCAGCTTGAAATCGGTGTTTCTGCACAGTCTGCATCTAATTGGATGGTAATTATACATAGCCATAACACAGGGCAGACGGAAGCCGTTTTTTTTTAGTCTTGCCGAGATGGTCAGGATTTTTCCAAGTTTTCATTGATGGGCATCTAATTTTTTCTGTCGGAAGACGGTCAAAAATGGAGGATAGATCAACAAAGATAATTTGGAAGACTGTCAAAAAATATCTCTGGATCCTCATTTTTTCGTTTGGTGGAGCTAATTCATTGCTGACGACCAAGAGAAGACAGAATCAGGGGTACCTGTCGTTTCTTACCTGTCTTTGCTGTATCGTGCACAGTACAATAAACTACATAATGTCACAGGAAGGGAAGTCACTTACCCCCGAATAATTAAGATACAGTAAGACCCCATTCCCATACCTAGATCGATCTAGCAGGATCGACCCATCTCCGAGGGCTTTCGCGCTAAATTACATTCAGCTTAAGCGGCTCTGATGTATGGCACGCCAACTGAAACTGCTAGGGGGTAATTAACTATCCTTTAGCAGCTTCAGTAGGCGTGCTAGACAGCTGAGCCGCTTAGCCTGAATGCAGTTTAGTGAGAATCCCCTCGGAGATGGGTCGATCCTGCTAGAGCGATCTACATGTAGGTATGGGAATGGGGTCTAAAAAATCAGCGAGAGAGAAAATACACTGACATTTAGGATATCATCTCATTTTGCAAACATTCGTCTTCTCAATATAATTCAGGTCATTGAAGTTTCTTCAAATGTCATTTTATAATCTCGTACAATTACCGAAAAATAAACGTAATGTGTAGGGCATATACAATAAATTCTTTCATATGATGCAAAATTAGGGACCAGACNGTAAACTGCGTCACGAGATAAATAAAGTAAAAAGGATCAGTCTGTGCTGTATCTTTAATGTGGTAGGCTACCAGATTCCTCCTGATTGCTGCACGTTTCGAAATGTAATATTATTCTCCAGTGGTATAAACAGCATGTCTGATACCGTTATTTGCCAGACAGGATCAGCGTATAAGCTGGAGCCGATTTCAATAAATAAACTTAAAACGGAAAGCTGGTCTTAACTTTAAGGCTGAAATGATTGGTCTACTTGAATTCAGAGTGAATTTGTGATAATCTATAAAAATCAAGTAACTACTTATAATTAATAATAAATAATAAATACCAGCCAATTTCTTTCTTTTAATGCATAAACTGACTGTTTTTCTAGGGTCAAAGTACACTAAAGTTAAAGCAAAGACCAACTCTCGGTCCCTAGTTTTTTGTGAAATCACCCCTGAAATGTTACATTATTCTCTTGTTGTACAGTCGGCATATCTGATTCTGCGGTGTCAAAGATAAGATCGTCATGTTCAGGCTGATCACAAATTTTAACATTACCAGGATCTCTGGCGGCTGTTAGTCGCAGAGTTGCTTACAAAGACGGGGTAATAACGCATCACAACCTACATGTAATAGTGAAAATGTGAATAAATGTGCAAAGAATTCTATTTATTTCGAACGATGTACCAAATTGCATTGATTTGCATTTGACGTGGAACATTACAGAACTCTGAAGGGCGTCCCAAATCATTGCAATAGTGCTTCAAACGAAGACACAGTTGCTGTAACTGAATATAACTCCTTGCTTCAATCGACTGAAGTTAACCAGTATGTCACCTTTCCTCATGTACGACTTCAGTCTTATCAAACGCCGTGAATCCTTATGAGTGTGACCGGTGGAAACTAAACTTATTTCAGTTCATATGGCACGGTTCTTGGTAAATAACCGAATTTAAATCAAACTTAAATAATTCTTATGCGGTTTCCGTCGATCGTATTAGATCATTATATGACACCTTAAATGACAAAAAACACAGAATAACCCCAAATTCATCCAATGACATTTAACCTTTAAACTTTCACGTTAAACATTTGATAGGAGTAATCTAGAAACTTTTAATTGTTGCAATTAGATTTTCACAAGCGTTGCCCAACACAAAATTATTATCCTTTGTTACTTTGCTTTTTAAATTAACGGGTCGGAGAGAACCAAAAACAGGAGGAAATTTTCCTTCTGCCTCTAATGCCCTACTGTGTAAGGTTTACTTTATCATACAAGGATATTTGTTCTAGATGCCTTTAGGCAAATGTTACATTTCTGACTCTCTGTTTTCAGTCATCGGCATTCACAAATAACCACGGCAAACATTCTACTACACAAACCACCTATAATTAAGCCTTTTTTCTCTTAAAGCTTGCTCAAATGACTTACACATACAACGCATGAATTATTGCGAGGATAAAACAACACTGAAACTGCATATATAGGAAAATATTCTTTTAGCTTTAATATTTAATAGGATATGCGCTGCTTATTATGTGCCTTGGATGAGATGAGTGTCTAAAGTGAAAGGGATGTCGTTGACGGCTACGGAAAATAACGGATTTAGCACATTATAATATATATAGTGTGATGAACAGTGTATTGAAATTAATGGTCATTTGAATTAGAGTGGCGAAAAAATAAAACGTTTTGAAAGTGTGGAAACAGCAGTGGTATCGATACGTCACAAATAATAATGATGATAATAATAATAATAGCAATGACAATAATGAAAATAATAAGAAGCAGCTTAAAAAGGATTATACGCACGAAGCCACCTGCTCCCAGCGCCATCCTCTCATACTAAATCTGCTCACATATCCAGCTCAAGATATCCTGATTCTTTTTTAATGACCGATCAATAGCGCTGGCTGCCGTGGAACCGTGCTTCGGATAACTTTTCTATTATCTTAATTTTTTTACCGCCTGTTAATCAGCAGAGTATTCCCAAGACGCTGCGCGTCGAGCCTTAATGAGACGAACATCGACAGCGTGTGGCCCTTTAACGAATACGCTTAAAATCGGACGACGGGCGTACCGCAAAGACAAACATAATAACTAAACGTTGAAACAAGAGTTGAGGATGTCAACATTTTTACGCGTATGTGTTAGTTTTTTGTATTTCAAAACTACCAGGTGTAAGCTCGTTTTAGCGGTATCACGTAAAAATTATTAAATTTTACATTAGCTGTTCATTAAAATGAGAAAACAGTACCGGTGTAAAGGGTGAACTTTATGCATCAATTTTGACGTGAAAAGTTTGAATGCCATCAAAATAACTAGCGTGAAGTTTATCCGATCACCGAAACAAATGATATCTCCCACGCATTTTGCATGTCTTAAACGACCATCAGTCATTTTAACTGTTTGTAAGGAATACTCAAGCCTAGGTCGGTTGTCACAAGCCGACAGCACCTTGACAAAGATTGAACTAGCGTAGGACTACTTGAAATCATAAGTGTGACATGTAAATATAGTCCAGTCACGGAAGCGTCAATTAATGTACCGAGCATTGAGCACTTAGGCTGTTTCCTCTTTTACGTAATACAAATATATTCAAAATTATGTCAAACTTTGGTTTCTATGTTTTTATTAGGCTCCATCGTATTGGGTTTTTTCATGCCAGGCATACTAGGAAAACGATTATTACCAATACCACTCGAAGATGACTTACTGAATATATGGTGGCGCCATGGGAGAGAGTCGTTTTCCCGGTGTTCGTCTTCTTGTTGTACTCAAACTGTAGACAGGAAGTCGGGCAAATTCTCACAGTGGTAAGGGTTGGGGACAATTACTCCAATAAAACATGATCAATTTCTTGGATTTATTCCCATCGCTCTCATTTCATTTTATCAGTATCTCTTGTGAGATGAGTTTTGCTCGCACTCTGCGAAATCTTCTCTTAAATAAGTGACCAATTACCACAACTGTTCGGAATAACAATGAGAAAGCTACATGCCTATCTGGCTGTGCGTACATGTAATGCGTCTCGAAAGTCCGAAGGTTCACTGGTGGGAAAGTTTTGTTCAAATGTTAATTATTAGGATGGTTCAGTGGTTTGAAACGTAATTTTCCGTAGGCTCATTGTTCTTAAACTCAAAAGCAATTGATATTGTAGATCAGATACAGTTTGACCTGGTGATCTTGTGTAAAACAAAATGTTTCTTAAAGCAGCTCTAGTTCCAATGAATCTTCGAAACACTGAACCGAAGCAGTATTTAAACCTCCTTATAAACCTCCGCTGTAATGAACCTTCGAAATGGTATCAGGCACCGGGACATAGTTAAAGAACAACCTACACAATACTCAAATTTAAGAGAACCATGAGAGCGGGAAGGGGGGGGGGGGGGGGCTTACCCACTTTTAGCTACTCAGAACGCGTTGATTCTTTTCTTTTTTATGCAAAGATACCGAAGGAAACAAGGCCAAAAGCACATGCCAGCCTTGCGCCCCTCTTATGTGCCTGCCAGTAACTTTGAAGTATTCATACGTGTTACATGTGAAACTGGTCGTTAACATAAAAAAGGGATATTATATAATCGGGTACCTCCCTTTGAAACAAGAACCAGAAGTGTTATCAGTTGCCATTTGCCCCGTGCAAGCCCATAGATGAATTGGGAGTGTTGGAATCGAATTATTCATATGATAATTGTAAAAAAACTCAGCCACGGCACAATGAGTTTCATAGAATCCTGTAAACTCACCCCAATTAGCCGCATATATCCGAAGTTACTGGGAACAGCGGAGTGAGTTCTAATATCTGAAACTCAAGGTAAGCCACGACAATTCTCCCATAAACCATCCTATTAACTATAGATGGATGGACTTGGAAGTTAAAATATAGGCGTCTTCGGACGTGAATTGTAACCACGTAGTTCTACCTATAGTTAAGCTGCCTCAAAATTTTCTGGTACAAGTCTGCGCCACGAGCTACGCTTGAAGATTTCATTGAGGGAAAGGATGATAATAAGCAGCGGATGTATTTAGCCAAGGTACTTTGCAGAAAATGAGGATTTAGTAGTCTTATGTGGCTGTTTGTCTCATTTCATCAATGCTTGTGTTATACGAAATAATCATTCTCGGCACAAAGCAATTTTCTCAGTTAAATAATAAAACATAAACACAGTGCCCAATGCGACTACACAATAATCGCTATAAACCTTCAGTAATACAATGGACTACTCCTGCCCAGATTGCGGCTTCACGCGAAGAAAAATGCACTTAATGCCATATAATCGCTCGTTCAGCTAAGCGAAGAAAAGAAAAGCAGTCTTAAAAACATTCATTTATTTATTTTTGAATTTGGAAATCGATGTTGCAACGATCGATAAGAACAAGTAAATTGTATTCACACGTGCCAAATATCCGTGTACGGTCTTTCTAAGTTAGTCCATGTATGTAATCCATGTAGACTATCTGATTTATTTTTGAATATCCCATATGGATTGTCATGAGCTTTACGGAGTTATTGGGATCAGAATCGCAACAAAATCCTTAGATGGAAATGGTTTTTCCGTCGTTTTAAATAGTATTTTTTAAGATTTTGAAAGCTTGATGAAGGGGAGAAACGTCATAAATAAAAGAAGGTTAAGTCTCTTTAATACAATTTAATTTTTCGCCAGCATGATTTTTGTTTAACCTAACGATCTACCGACATTTGTTACTTATCATAAGCAACTTTGGCGTCCAGCAAACTCATTAACCCATAGGTTGTAGTAAGTCCTTCCTACGAGAGACATTAAGAATCCGATTAAAGGAACATCTGTAACGTTTATATATGCAAAGCACAATCAGGTTTCACATTAGAAAAATGAAAACCCATGTCCCTCTGCGCCAAGCCTTCTAGGCACCTCTGTAACCGCAGCTCTTTATCTCTGGTGGACAGTTTCCTGAAGTTAGTCATCTTACTTCTTATCTTAACGTTGAAAATAGCAAAGGATAGAACAGTCGTCTGCTGGCTGCCATGGTGCTTAATTGTCTAATGTGAACCTGCTTTTGACTTTATGAAATAGTGTAAATAGCAAAAACCCGTTGTGCGTAGAGTATTTGCAGCGATGGCAGTGTACAGTACGATTGCCAATCCTTTTTTATCTCCTCTTCCAGCGAGACATCTCTCAAACGCCAAAGTCCTGCTGAGGTACTACAATCCCAAATCCTCATTCTATAAAAACACTCCAGTGCATTTGATCTCTTTAATTGTTTTTTTTTTTTTTTTAGTAAGATTGGAATGAGGTCTAGGAAACAAAGTACTCTTATTTCTTTGTTGTCATTTAATGCCACTTTATAAAAGAGCCTCTCTTTCGTCGCCCGATGATCCTCCGTCATCACGTTCGTCTTTGAAGTCCCGCTGTCTGTGTCTGTGTGTGCCGTAGTCACTGTCGCTGCTGGCCACGTAGTCATCACTCCAATCTGGGAAATCAAGTTTGATTAATCAGTCGATTGATTAAATAAACATTTAAGCACAAACTGGTCAGCATAAACTAAAAAGGACATGTTTAGGTCATATTAAAGTACATAGCTGAAAAATCTAAGATTTGGCATAATTTTTCTAAAAACTAGTATTCAGTTGTCATTTTAAAGGAATTTAACGCAGGGCTTGGAAGCGGCGAATAAATCCTCACAAATGTAACTTGTAAATCTGAAAAAATTAAATGTTGTTGCAACATAAATGGCAAATCATATGTATATGTCGTGCAACCTGTATCATTTTAATGATTTTAAATTTTAATCATTTTAAAAAATGATTCAGCTGACAAAAGAGGAACTAGATTTAAAAAATCAGCAATTTACCAAATTTGAAGGCACGTCAGTCAAGGCTATCAACTTCTGATAACCGTCAAGAACAGGAAATTGTAAGCTTTTGTAACGTGTATACATGTACTACTCAAAAGAAGTTAAGGAACACTCGCCATTTAAGATGTAATAGTTTGATCCATGTCCATGTCTACTATTATTAAATATCAGCACTTCTAAAACAGTCATTAGTCGGTGTTGGATGACATTTCTACTTTAATTTTTGTGCAATGAAAATAAATTTTGCACTCGTTAAAATTAATAATTATGACTATTTTGGGGGGATGAAATACGTGAAAAAAATGGAAAATCGTTCAGGAAGAGAAACGTCCGTTCAAGGCGGCAGGCAGTGCCAGTCCATTTAGCAAGACATAGAACAGCTTGTTTGGTGCGGGCAACACGTCAAGAGTGGTCACTTGTTCTCTTCTCTTACTGAAAAGTCCAAATTTACAATACTGAACAGCGATGGCAGAACTCGCGTGTGCAGAGGTTCAGGAGAGAGTTTCATCAGAGAACGCAACCAGTTCTGTGGAGGCAGCGTATTAAAGGTTAAGTGAAGGTTTGGGGGGTGTTTTCATTTCACCACCATACACTCCTTTACATTAGCAACGGATTGCATAACAGGGATGAAATTCTGATACTTCTGTTCATGCCATCCATAGTATAGGTGAAGCAACCATGCTACATGTACAAGGCAACGCATGGCAACGCACGTCCTAGCCGTGCATGAGTTACCGGTGCCACGGATTTCTTAGAGCAAAGGAACGTCCACAGCATGGACAGGCCTGCCTTTTCGCCTGATAGGCCCCGACACAAAATCTATGGGACCAGTTGAAGCTACGAGTTAAGCAAAATCCACACCAGTAGATCTCATTCAGCTCGCTCAATGGCTCATCCAAGATTGGAAACCCATTCTACCCCAGTCGCTCCAGACATTAATAATCTCAATGAGGAGGCGTTGTGAAGCATTTGCGGTTTCTAGAGGCGGACACACGCGATACTGAAAAGCCTCTTGGAGCTGTGGATTTAATTTTCAACCTCGGTTCCTTCCTATTCTCGTTTATATTATGATAATTTATCATCATATGGAAATCAATGCACGATTCAATACAGCGATGGTTGGGGAGTATGTTTTTTTAAATTATTTATAAAACAATGAACTTTCTTTTTAGTATCTGCTTTTCTAGGCGTTCCCAAAATTCTTTTGAACAGTAGGGCATTTTACCGCCAGATCAAACCGATAACAATAATTGATCAATATGTAGGCCTATAAGTGTTTAGAAGGGGGTTACTTTTGACAAAGTTTTTAAAATATTCTTGAAAAATACGTTGTTAGTCAGTGACAGAGGCACAGATTTTGCAAGATTGGTCCTGGCATCTTTACTTGTTCAGGCTGTTTAAAATGCAGAAACGTAAATGACAGCATAAGGCAATTTGGGTGCCGATTAAAGATGGCGCCTGGTTTTCACATTAATTACAACTCCCCCCACCCCACCCCACCCAAAAATGTCTTTATGAGGTTTACTTTTTCTTTTTTTTTTTTGAAACATGAAACTTCGCAAAGATGTTTAAATCGCATACACCCGTGAAAATATAATCATCAGCATTTATCCTTTACCAGAGTCGCTTGTGTCTGTTGAATGGTCAGAAACATCCACGTTGTCCACATCGTCGTCTGAGTCTATCCCATGATGCTCCTCGGCAGGGGGAGACAACCGTCTGTATCCATTAGCCAGATGATCTGAAGAAAAACAAATTCATTATTAAAACAATCATTTTTGCTTAGTGACAAGCACTTGATGCATAATCTCAAGATACTTGATTGAATAAAAAACGTGATATTAAATAAATCCACGGGGTGGTCCTTCTAGTTCCTCGGATTTGTTGATTGGTATTTTAATTGTGATCGAAAGTAATAAGCGTCACCTGGGAAGATTTCTTTTCTATCCGGGAGCATTGCCTTAATACAGTTGATAAGAATGATATAAGAATTTCCCCGTGGAATTATTTTCTTTTAGTGAAGTCGTGTGAGAAAAAAAAGATGAATATACAACCTGCCATGAAGCCGTTGATAGAATTATTTATCATACCAAGACAATTAATACATTTGTGCCTATCCTGCTTGAAAAGAACATGAGCACTCATACGCACACATTCGCAGAAAAAAGTTTACTCCGCGAACTTTTCCTTTTTACTACTGTTTATAGTTAGAACTCGCATCACCCACACACTGCATAAAAAAATAGTCGACAGACTATATCGTGCAAGAGTTAATACTTTTGCCACATGTATAATGGAACACTACTTTTCATCGACCAAAATGTGACCTAAAATGATTGATGTCTTGATAAGTTTATATTATGATTCCAGAGAAATGTGTCGATATAATGTAGTGCACAATGCGCTGTGGATTAAGTACTCAGTACAAATCATCATCGGTCGCATCTCTACCACGCGTCCCCGAGGCAGAGGCCACGAGGTCCGGAAAAACAATCATTTTAGCGCCTTTCTGTTTGATGACGACATTGTACGCAGTTTCTGTGTGTCGTGGGACTTTATGAATCGATCAGGAATCCATTTGCTAGCCCCGGGGATCGATTTGTTTGTATAGACCACTTTTCAAAATTAATTACAGTGCATAAATGAAGAAATTTGTTGCAGTACGCCGACGAATTAGTTGGTGTCATCATCATTAGCAGAATGTTTTGGTTTCACGCCTGTATCAAGCAACTCTCCTTTCCTTATTTCACGTTTCCCTGGACGACCCTCTACGTCCCGCTCCTTTTACAACCTTCTTCCCCCTTCTCTCTCTAACACACACACAGACACACACACACACACACACACACACACACACGAGCAATACTGAATAATTCCCATATCGAACAGTGTATCTTGAAACGTGGGCGTGTATCTATATTCACTTTCTTCATAAAATATAATTCATTTGGTATAACATGTCAGACCCGTCATCAATCTTTATTGGCCAGACAGAGAGAATGATTGTGCTGCTATTAGCTAGGATCTTATTGTAAACGCCCAGTCAGTGAAAGCAATAACGACACCCAAACGGCAATGGAATTTCTCCTTATGCTCATACTCGTATTTGTTTTTATTGTACAAAAAGCGTCGGGTCGGAGTCATACATTCGAGGTGAATTGGCCCTGTTTGCTGTATGCACCCGTTTTAATGAATTGGTTTTTGTTTTATCTATAGTCAATGGAAAAAACCAGACAGTCGTGTTCTAGGAATAACTTTTAAGGCTGCAGTCTACTGTAGGGCGATCTTATGCCAGTTGGATCGTCTACATGCACTAGTATTTGTTGTTTCTCTGGTTTTTGCAAGTGAAACTACAATCTCCTCTTCAAAAATACAATCTAGTTGTGGCTGGGCTGTGTTCGAAATAGCTTTGACAAAAAAGCTTTACAATTTCCTTCAAAGAGAGGACTATTCTTTTGATTGTACCCTCACTATTTTTGTGTTTTACTGTTCTGGTTGTTGACTGTAAGCCCCTGTGCTCCACCTAAAGTAAATCGTACTGATCGCTTGATTGCAATTACCGTTATTCTACTTTACTCCATCCATCGCTCCTCGAGCTGAATGCTTTACTCAGAAGTTACAAAGGGTTTGTAAGGAGAGGAGTTGCAGTTAAGCGGCTACCCCGTAAAGGTTTTTAAAACTTGAACGTGGACGTTTTTAACCGTCCTGAATTTGGTCTTTCTCGTAATAATTCTGGCAATTGTCCGATGGAGACTCTCAGGTTACAAGTACATGTATCTATATACTGCTTGTGATCTCTTTAATTTGAACTGCACAAATAGTCTAAAAGCAGAAAATCAATTTTCATACCCTTTGCAGTCGGGGCAGTTCATATGTGGACTGCCATTCAACTACATGTTGGACAAAAATATCGTCCCCACAAACTATTGTTAGCAAGACTCCCTTTCCACTGGTGTGTGTGTGTGTGTGTGTGTGTGTGTCCGCTCGCGCGTGTGCGTATGTGCTATGTGGCACGCTGTCGTCTCTTGAGAAGTAGAATAGAAACCGTTAGCAATTTAACACACATAGTAAAAGAGAATACAGACAAAAAGCAGTGTAAAATTACGTATACCGTGAATATGATTCCTTCAAGCAAGCTAGGCAGCGAGCCTCGCGTGAATTGAGACACTAAGTGCAGATTGATTCGGACGCCTGCCGAGCGCTTCGTGTGATTTTTGATTGAAACTTGGCGAAATGAGGATAAAAAAGACGGAAAATCGAAGAACGGTCGAAGGACCTTGTGGAACATGGCAAAACGAACAAAATAAACAGGATGTGTTGTGGTTGAATAGTGTCTATTAAAGTTGCCAATTTTGCTTTTTGCTGTCTCTTTTAATTCTGTCTACATTTTCACATTGATAGTAGTATTAGGTAAACATGTAAAACCATATCGCCTTTCCAACGCTTTTATTCAGCCACCTAAAATTACCCGCAATATAGGAGTGTCATGAGTGCAGTAGTAAGTTGACACCTCAATATCCTTGGTGCAAGGAAGACAGATCGACAGCATAATGCAAATTTTATTATTTCTTAAGTCTAGTCTCATATACTTCAGATTTCCTGCGCCGGTATACGGAGTACATGAGATAAGCCTTATTCTGCATCGGTGTCTCTGCACCGGCTTGCGTGACAGATTACTGAGTCATGGAAGGCCACAGGTGCGTATGCAAATCAAAACCCCTAGATATGCAATCTTAACGTTAAAAACTTCGGGGCCATTTTATTAATTTTCGAGCTGATGAATTCCTGTCTCACTCTTTTTCAGACTCAGAAGCTATGTTCTGAAGTATACTTCAACCGTATTAGTTTATGGTGTTTGTTGTTTCTCCGGTGTTTTTCGCAATGCAAACAGACCTTCCAATAGTATACGCACCATTCATGGTCGATATGCGATTTGATATTAAAAAAATACAAATCAATTATAGTTGGGAAAAGCATACGTACAAAAATAATAGCTTCATGTAACTTGGCTTCTATTGTAATCAATTTCCCGTTGGGTCTTACAAGAACGTTTGATTCAATAAGTGAAAAAAATCCTCTCCATATTTCAATGTTGTGCCTTCAATGAAATAAGGATTCTGAAATGTCTGACACTGAAAAAGAAAAGGAAGAAGAAGGAGAGAAGGGTACGAAAAAGAAGAGAGAAAAAGAAAAAATATTAAAAATCGTTGGACCTGTTTCGCCACACAATACATTTCTCACTTATGTATCACAAAAGCATTTTATGTGTCGTAAAAAAACTTGATGAGTTATGGAGATAATAACTGCTTTGCTGGGGGCTAAAAAGGAAAATTATCAACCATAAGAGTCCGTTTTTCAAAGGTCGCACAAATCTGTGTCTGTGATGCACAAGCCGATGCCCTGTATATTTTTAATAACAGCAGAGAAAACACATAAAGGCTGTACATATCACAGAGGTCTCTGTAAGACACGGTGGAATAATTACCTTTTCTTCATCAGCAGATTAACATTTGTCAGTGTTTGCTGTTAAAACTCGGTGATTCTACTTGGTCCTTATATTGATTGGTGAACTTTACAAGCAAAAACTGACGCACGCGTGCTTGGGATCATGGTAAAACAAACATCAAGATACAAGAGCCATGGGTATTATTGTATTGGAGACCCTATTCGCGTAACGAAATTTGGACTCGACGGCTCGACCGAATCTTTATGTAGTTGTGCGCATACAACAGATGGAACCTTTTCTGAAAATAATTCCACGTAATTGTTTCTATATTATGGTCCAAAATAAACACATCATGACCCTAACTGACATTTTAAAATATAACTAATAATAACAGGCACACACCTTAAACATCTTTAAAGGAAGGGATGTGGAATATTTTCAGAAAAGGTTCCTCTGAAGACAAAACTACTAGCAATATTCACGTTTGTGGGAATCAGCGTGTAAAAAATCCCTGTGAAAGCCCCTGTGTCTGAAATTTAATAAAAAAATAGAGACTAACCCAACCACATTTATACATAAAACACAGCTTTGAGCATACAATTCCTTAAAAACGGTGGATCTACCCCTCACGTAGCTTCGTCATCCCCCTCATAAAAATATAAATAAACAGTAGAATGAGCGAAAAGAGACAAGATTTTTTTTCCATCTGTTTCCCCCACATATTAAAGTATAACTGCCCTTTTTACTACTTTATATTTGTAAAGAAAGGAAATTTATTTTATTCTTGTAATTCGCCCCCTCCCCCAAGCAAAATCCTGGATTCACCAAATCCTTATGATTTCCCTCGACCATATTTTCCCTTGTTTGAATCGTGATACTTGATTTTTTTCCAACGCATTTGATCTAAAGTCGTGCTGTGGGTGTTATTTCATAGGAACTCATTCTGCAGCGAGAACTAGAATAGCAACCACTCGCAAATCAGATTAGTGAGATAATTGATGTTTCACGGTATCTCTTCCTGGGAGGATTCTAGGGGAAAGACAGTAATTAAAACTCTCTGCTTGTCTAATTTAGTTGTCATTTGCTTGATATGTAATCTAGAGGCTGGTCGTACTTAGTTTCCAGTATCAACCACTGAAAAAATCTGGGAATACGTATTGATCTATTTATAATCCTATGAAGAATAGAATCTGTAAATGTATCTGAACATTTGTTTATTATTATTATTATTATTATTATTATTATTATTATTATTAAAAAACATGAATGCAACCACGCGTATGCTCAAGCAAGCTCACATAAGCACACACTCGCAGCACAATCAAACCGTATATCAACACGTTGCGTATATGTGTCCGATGAGACCATGGCAGCTTTTTTTTAAGCAAAGAATTTCATTTCACATTCAGACAGTCGATGTATGTATAATTTACGACCAATGTTTCCAATTATCGCATAAACATTGACCATAAGTTCTGATATAACAGAGAGCACCTTGGTATCCCTCCCCCATTCTCTCTCTCTCTCTCTCTCTCTCTCGTGCATGTGTGCATGAAGTTCACAAATGTAGTTTAGGCCTATGTGGGTCTTGACATGTGAACTGAACATGGCTTCCTTTTATACCAGAAAAAAAAAACGATTTTTTCATTAATCACGTTGGAGACATTCATTCTAGATACTATTTACAACATATAGGCTACAAAGCGTAAGAGCCCAATAAATTTGCTTAACTAAAATGATAAACTAGTAGCAGTTTTTTAAAGGTTTATCCTGTCTCACACACACACAAAAAAAATGCAATCGGCAAACTGATTAAGATAAATAGAGACTTTATTCTTCCGGATTTGGAAAAGCCAAAGCTGACAGAAGACATTTTCATCAGCTTACCTTCAACCGCCACTGTTGTCTTCTGTCTCTTATGTAATTTCGGTTATTTTAAACTCAGAATACCCTAACGTTAATCAGTTTCAATAATGCGATCGTTTTTCTTACAGATCCCTCTCCCATGCAAACTAACAAGCAAATAAAATAAAGACAAACATATAGGTATTCTCCATTCCCTTTTAAATTGGCTGTTGGGTGTCATTTCCCTCGGTTATTGAATTTTACAGTCAGCTCTTTTGTATGTTGTCATAATCCAAGAGAAATGCGAACTAGACTGTCTGGGCTGAGACGACCTCCAGCGCAATTTAATCTATTTACCGATCTCAAAGACAGATGATGAGGAAACCAAATGATAAAATTGTTACATTAATGGCAACATCACCCATGGATAGTCTAGAAATGTTACAGAACAGAGAAAAAAGAGGAAAGATTCCGTATTCCAGAGGAATCCTATTGCATTAAATATTTTAGCAAGTAAATAAAACTAGATGACTTCTTATGTTTGCTGTTATGCGGATCGTTGATGCTCAACGTCCACAATAATAGACATAATATATCAGCAATTCAACCCTGGGAAATCACACATTTGAGCCCTAGGAACTCGAATCATTTTGATTGGAATATTCCAATGGACGGAAAACAAATTGCTGCGGAAACTCCCCTAGTCTCATCATTGTTCCTACAGAAGAGAACCCTGATCACTATGAAGAGACGGATCCATTAAAATGTGTCACTAGAGTAGCAATATGCTGCCTACGACAAAGGTTTTATAACTGTTTCTGTATTCATATCAGCATTTATGGGACACCAAGCAATACCTTTATTGCGTTTCAATACATTGAGGGTTTGTCTTCTCATGCATGCAAAAGGCTAGGTGTTTTTACATACATCGTGCATCTACCACATACCATATGTTCCAACTGCTTCAGTGATTTTATATTTAGTGTAACGCTGCATAATATGAGGGAGGTATATGCATCACATAAATTTTAATACAGGTCTTTGTCGATAATAACTACGTTTATTTGACACTGGCATTAATTATTAAGTTCTCGGAGGCTATGGCCTAATTCCATACATGTTTTTGGTGTAAAATATAAAGCACAGGTATGTTTGCATAAATAGGAATGATAAAACACCTCGAAGGCTGACATGTATATGCACGGTGTGAAAGTAGACTCAAATGAAGAGGTAGACTTCAACAGGTTCACATGACAACTGTGTCTACAGCAGTGACTGTGTACAATTATATCAAGGGCCGTGTGTATATTATAACTACGACCTGTCTACCCTAAAATAAAGTTTTTTTTCATCTGAAATATGTTTCCATTGGTTTATTATCCTTAATTTGTTATTTAAGTCTTTATAGTATTTTCTCTACTTGTCGGCGTCGGAAGTTAATTGTAATTAAAAACGGAAAGTGGGATAACATATGATATTGGCAAAACAAGGAATGACTTTTAAAAATTAATATCACTTATAAGTGGCAGTGAAATATTGGGTATTGTTATTCCCATATCTGACAGATGCACACAAAAACACAAGCGCACGCGCACAAGAACGCGCAAACACACACACACACACACACATACACACACAGAGAGAGAGAGAGAGAGAGAGAGAGAGAGAGAGACGAGCAATTTGAATTTGGCAAAAAAACCACCAGAAGCTTTTCATTGCGCATGAGAATCATATCGGCTGTCATACCTCACTGGCTTCACACTGATACCCTTAAGTACCTACTTGTCGGCCCTCTCGTATTTAACAACTTTATAACAACTGGCAGTCATTTTTATGTGTGACATGAAATACTCTGGTACCAGTATAACAGAACATGCTGTCCCTTTATCTTTGTTGGGAATGGGAGGGGGGAGGGGGGCATAAAAAGAAAGGGATTTGTTTCTTGGATTGATTTGCATGTTGGCAGACGTGTAATTATGTGTTCGGAAATGTTTCAATGTATCAAAACTAATAAATAAAGCTCAAACATAGCTCATGTCCCTTAAAACATTTTGAGAAAACAAACATTGCAACAGCTTTATTAACATCTCGAAAGAATTTTTAATTTGTGTTTATTATTATTGTTAGCTTCGATACTTATTACGTACGTAGTTATCCGATACGCACACGTTTATGTATCGGTTTCCGTAGTGTGTGAAGATGACTTAGCAGTATTTAATGAAGAGCTCTCGAAAGCGCGAGACCCGTACCATATGCTACTTTTACTACTACATAATGACACTCATATCATATAAAAGCTTAATTACTAGTGTAAGCATGTTTTTATACATGTAACAATGTGCGAGTGGTTGGGTTACAGACGTATTTGGTGCGTTTTGGTCGCGGCCTATATATATATATATATATATATATATATATAGAGAGAGAGAGAGAGAGAGAGAGAGAGAGAGAGAGAGAGAGAGAGAGATTTACATACAATGCTAGTGAGGCAAGAAAACCAATACAAAAATACACGAAAACTAAAACTTGAATAAACCAGCTCTTGACTGTTAGTGAAAATACTAAAGCAAACTTATCCACTCTCCTGCTTCCGATTCTCACCCTATGGTTTCCTCGTCTTTCTAAATTCTCTATATTTTCTTACCTTTGACTAGCATGTTTTTTCGTACTTCCTCGGGGATCTCACTGAGCGGAATTATGTCCAGTTTCACCAAAGAACACTCGCCCTCGGCCTCGAGTTTGCGGAAAATCTGCAGGCGAGCGTCGTTAAGCGCAAATAAGAAGCCATTATTCTCTGCCACCTGTAAAACCAAAAAATCACCATTGGCCAGTGTCTTTTTGTAGCACTCTATGAGTTCTTGTTCCTGTTTGTTTTCCAGTGGATTACCCTCCGGTTGCTGCTCGTTGTTGTTTATGGTGAAGTGAATCGCTGACGGAGGGGCAAACTTCGCCATTTTGGCACTGGCAACTGAGCCAGGTATTCAGCGGACGGTATTCACCACGCACAGCTCACCTGAGGAACGCTGTCTCTCGTGGTTGTGTCTCGGTGTACTTAAGCAATTGCGCTGTTGACTTGCCACTCGAGAAAAAAAATATGAAAAACAGTTTCCGTCGATGGTTTGACCGTCCTTTCTTCAAATAAAGGACGGTACTTAATACAACACCGTGTGTTCCTCCAGCACTGTCTCAACACATTACAAACCAAGCCGGTCAGCTTTAGTCAGTTTCGATATGTGTGTTTGCAATTATACGTGCAACACGAACCCAGAAGGAAATAAAAAATCGAAGAGTTATTCCACACGGCTGAAGATTGATTGTACTGGGCTCATAAGCATTATCCTCGTTGTCAATTTAGGTCTCTCGTGTGTTGGTTTAGCTAACACGTTACATTCCCCAAACGGTAAGACCTTTTCCCATAGCTGGTGTCAGTCGTTTAGTTATACAGTTATCTCATTGCGCCGGGAGATAGAAATGACGCATGTATCCATCAGTTGCGCCCCCTGTAATGAAAATATCCTGAATGACATAGGGAAGATCAGTGAATTCGCAGGCATACGAAGTTAACCATACGAAATAGGTTTGCTTTGGTAAATTTAAAATAACGTGTCAATGAGAGGTTCGCGTGTCACCCGTGCACGGCATCTTCTCCCCAGATGACTCCATAATCCCTTTCTCTTTTGCTACTTATGAAATAAAGACGAAGTGATTAATTGGTGGCTCATATAAGAGAGGCGTACTCGGAAGTCCACAATAAAACTGCGCTATACCCGAGTAAGTGTTTCATATCCACACTCTCGAGGGTGGCTCTCGGATTAATTTGGATTTTATGAGTTTTGTGTATCGATATCGGCCGTCAATTTTCATTGAACACACAGCGTCATTGTGTACAGCAGCATACGGTCGTGGGAGGCATGTGTTTTTTTTGTATGTTAAACCACAAGGGGTGTTTCCTTTGCATCTAGAGATCAGACACCTGCATATTTTTAATAAATCACTTTTGGGCGGTTCCCTCAACACTTGTGTTAATTGAGAGATAATCCACGCAAAAACATTGCCTGTATAAAACAGACGCTTATCGGAGACGTGACGGGTAAAGGATGTATTGGTTATATAGAACACGGACTAATATTGTAATATACTGGTATACCTAAGGAACGCAGCTATTTATCCTCACATTGAACCTTGTAATACACTTTTAATGATCTTGGAGCTAGGTAAATCGAAATCCTATCGTGACAACAGAAGATTCTTTTGCATTTCATTAATTATTTATTCTCTGTCAACATCATTAGACCATACACAACTGAGCCTGCATATGTACGGTTGTTTTTTTTCACAATCAGTCTTAAGAGGAAAAAATGAAAAATTAATAAGAAATATCTAACCACATGCGTATACAGCTTTGATGAGCTTCGCACGCGGTGACATTACGAGAAAAAGAGAAAAAAGAGGAACTGAGACAAATATGTGAAAATCACATTGGCTTGCACACCAAAGTCCCATTATTTGATTTGTAATCGAATTCTCTCATTCAAATCCTGCTAACAGGCAACTCCACAACGTTTATTAACTTATATACAAAGGTTGGCTTGATGTCTGTTTTAAATTAGCTATTGCATAACCTATTTACTTAATAACAATCAATGAGAGTTAAAGTTCAAGCAGATGAGACCATTCTTTCATGTTTGCAGAAAGCCCACATTTCTCCTCAGACCCTGACTTCAGAAATATACAACGCTATCCATTCCACTGCTGACGAAAAAGTACACAGCATGAGCAATAAATCATTCAACCCACCACATATCAATCGATTGAAAAAATAGATTGGGTAAAAAAGATTTGATATTGTAGTGCATATGTTTTCCGCTGCATTTTTTTCCCTAGTTTAGTCCTTGTCAAATGTTCACTTTTAGCTTTATAGGCTACCCATTTCATATTGTACACAGTCGGCATGATATTGTACACTATTGATTTCAATAACCGTTGTGTTTGTTGTAATCAGTGTGCCGTATCCGCTTGACGACTTGTAAGCCTGGCTCCTGCAAATAATTCAACGTAATTTCTAACGGTGATTCAAAGACTTTAGGCATTAAATTCTGCGTAATATTCTCACTTTGCTCTCTAATACCTTCAGTACATTTTTTACAGTCAACTTGTAATCTTTTTCTTATTAGTAATTAACAAATCTTAGTTTGTATTTGAAAACCGATCATTTTGAACAGTGTACATGTATACATTATTTTGGGTGTAAATATAAAGGGGCTGGTACGTAGAATGCCTGAAAGGAGAGCAAGAACAATAATGTTTTTAATACTGGATATTTCTGTGTTTTTTTCTCTGAGCGACATTGAAAGGTATCCGATCCGGTATTTACCCACCAGTTCAAATTTCCTAAAAATGAAGAATTCGCCTATTCACATTGTCTGATATATCCCTGTACCTGGATTCAATGTCTTGTGTCATTTCTAATGAAATGATTTACTTCTGAATTTCCCATAACGTTAAGACTAATCCTGGAATCGTCAGATCGCATTATCAACATGGCAAAATTTGAACCCAAGTATATTTTAAGCCTAGATAAATTTAATGAGGTTCTGGAAGTCGTGAGGAAATAATTAAGTAATCAATATCAATAATCTGTGGGACTGTATCTGGATTTGAGCACATACAGGATAAAGAACATTACGCGTCTTTTGACAAGAATCATCATGACAACATTGTTAATTTATGAAGTACTCGGTATGACATTTCCAAATTAATTTACGAAATGTTAAGCTATGAAAGGATTAGGATCAGATTTTCAGCACAAAACCCAAAACCAGACTAATTGCAGCTGCAGGGTGTTCGTAATGCTGCTTATTCAGAAGAACGCAGGGCATCATTATCATCATGCACGCAAAAGGTTTGTCCATACAATTTTTTTCGTTTATTTGCAAGATATATTCCTCTAAATGCTCTTTTACCAAATATATACTTATAGAAAAACATGGTTGGCATCGTTTTAGTCCATAAATTCTTAAAAGACATAATTGTACAGTAAACTAAAGAACGCCTATCAGAACATGTTTTTCACTTAAATTAGGACCATAAAAAGTTATGTAAAGCTGACACTTTTGTTTTAGACATATTCCCTGTTAGGACTGGCGTGCAAACAGTAACTTGGTCTTCTCTGTTGAAGATAATCACAATAACAAATCAACGAAGGTTTATACTCTTTTAATGTACGTCTTGTTAACTGAATACAACATAACATTCAATAATATGATCATTTTTTAACCTTATAATACCATATAAATAATAATAATAAATCCCTATATATATCCCCCGTTCTTTAACACATATAGAGAACTGTGGTGCAAATTATTATTCCCAAAATATTTTGGAACTGTGAATTTAAATTGAAACCGATTAGACCTCAACAGTAGGTGAAACTTATAAGTTACTTACATCCTCTGACCAGCAGAGTGGGGAAGTAGATGAGAAATTATTTAAGAAAAGCACCGTTTAGTTTGAACCACACAAGATGTGTTAAAATTCTCTGAAAAAAATTAAGCAATAAGTAAGAAAAAGTAAATCTGCATAGGATAGTTTAATCCATGCCTATCTATTCACTTAATGTAAAATTGGTAAAGAGTGGTGGCACCAACATTCAACAACTTGAAAAATAATTTTAGTAATGTTCCAAAGACCTTAAGTCTCTTTGGCTTTAGAAGTAAAAAAACTGACTTGGTAGTAGCGAAAAATCAAGTTCTCTTCGAGTGTGACATGATAGAAAAAAATGAATCAAATATCTGATCCCACTTATCATTAACAAACTAAAACAACATCAACCAAAATCGTCCAGACAAGAAAACGAATTGGCCACAAACAAAAAAGGACCCTGCAACCTGAAGACAAGTCCATAAAACTCCCACATGGACTATGTGTAAGTCTTTTTCTCAGCGCAGTTCTTTCATCAGCCTTTTTATTTACTCCTTTCCTGCAGCTGAGGCAGTGGCAGTTGCCAACATCTAGAAAAAGTAAATTATAATTTCATAACATATATTACCATATAATTACTATATTATTATCATTAAATAAGAGAATTATAACACTGATTAAAAACTAAAATTTACAATGTTGAATTATAATCTTATATTAAAAAATTAGAAATAACAAAAAATATCATAAAATTGTAAAGTATACAGTTAGCATGCATATATCTCTCCCAAGTGTGGCACTGAGAACTATGAGATTATCAAAGCAAAAAATGAAGACTGAGTATTTGTAACACAAAATAACTAGTTGTCCATTTCGATGTAATAAAAAATTTTTTTCGACTAGTACAAAGAAATTATAAACATTGCAGCTCCTCAATGTCCAAATACTTTATCATAAAAGCTGATATATTAAGAATCTCTTGGTTAACATCTCTGCTAGGAGACCTCATGATCCCATGGAGTTAAAAAATTTAAAAAAAAACACATCTGGAAATACCTGGTTATGGTGCAAAAAAACTGGAACTTACAGATCTCCAGACTTGAGCACCCAAGAAGTTTGTTGCCACACCCGTCATTTTTTTCCTGGATCCCATTTTACATCTGATATATCCATAGAGATTAGCACCATTCAGAAGGCTACCAACTATTACAACCATCTGGAATTGTGTGTAAACTATTACAACTTCTGGCATCATGTTTAAATGCACCAAAAATCTAATTTTAGATCAGTGTCCATTGCAACTTCTTGCTGAATTAGACTTAAGTTCATAATGTAGTTCAAAATAAAAGCACTTTTCAGCATTCTCTTCAGATTTCATCAAATAGTTCGAAATCAGAAGACTATTGCTGAAAAATTTCTTTTTTTTCTGCTACACTATGCATAGAAAAAGTTACTGATACACTCTATACTGCACAATGAATTGGAAATATAAGCAACTCAAACTTGTGGAATAACAAATTTTTTCGATCATCATTTGGAAAAAAAGAACAGTGCACACTTCCTTGTTTGGCAACATTCTAAGAAATTCAATACTATGGAAAAAATATATACGGTTTCAAACATTTACAATCAACTTAAACTGAACAGTAAACAAAAGTTAGAAAAACCAACATCACATATACTTACAAACCACTTAAATTTCAGAGTAAAGAGAGTTCCAAAGAAGAAGACCAGCCATATAACTTGGCACACCACCAATGAAAGCCAGAAGATACGAGACTCCGCTGCTGTAGTAAGACCTTTTAATTTACCCTAAAATAAGTAAAACAAATAGTATTTTCCATTGAATCTTGATAATATATTACAGATCATAAATGTATATTGTATATTCAGTGGCACACAGATATGCAGTAAAGCAATCAAAACATCCAAATATATTTCTTTGTTGGTAAAATAGTAAAATAGTTTAAGTTTCTCAATAACTTTACATGTAAGGTTTCCTTTGTGCCATAAAACAACTTATTCAGACCAATTTAAAGTAACATTAAACTAAACAATATTAAAATTAGGTTGTGTTTAAGGTCAAATACAGAATAAGAACAATATACAGCCCGGGAGCCACCGGTCTGCCGCTAGGTGGCCTTTAACCAAACCGGAAGTTCTAGAATTTGAATTGCGTGCATTTTTTTGAGATTTATAGGGTGTCAGAAACGGTAGAATAACTCGACTACTAAGGGTAGGAGAGTTTTGTTATGTATACTGTCATCTTTAGAAATAAATTTCAAATGATGTAAGATGTTCCTCGAGTTGATCTAAACCCTATTTTGTGCTCAAAAGTGAATTTGAAATCGAAGTTTTACCAAAGCTGTAACGGGAGTTCAACTTTACCTCTAATTCTTGAATTCTTAGAGAATAGGTTCCAACTTCAAATTATCAGTAAGTTGTGGCAAATTTATTCAGCTTTCTGTCAATGTAAGCATGTAAGGAACTTTACCGTTATCCAGGAATGGCACAAATCAATTCACACCCGTGTATGTAAAAATAATCGTACTTGCAACAACCGTAAGCCAGCCTCGTTTTGACTTAGTACTTTCTTGTTGTAATCTTACCTCGTTTTGAATTCCCCACCCGCACAATATTGTCTATATAAAGAAGAGAGGCTTGTACAGGAAGAATGAAGGAAATGAAAACATAAACATTTCATTTTTTTTTTTTTGTAAATAAGCATTTATTTATTACATGAGGCTACCCGCTGCCAGTTTCTTTTTATTGAAAGACTAATAAAAACAAAACAAACGAGACTTTTTTATCAACTGAATTTGCTTTTTTTTTTTTTTACATGTGAACAACTATAATATGACATTTAAAACATAATATCATCAACAAAAAATATCAATATTGTGACAGCCAACAGGGGTTAAAGCTGATGCAAAAAAAAACGTATATTTGTGGCAAAAATTTTTTTTTACTTTTGCAACGCATTGATATGGCAATTATTTTACACTTCTTGATCATAACATACTGTTTTAGCCACAGGACACACTACTCCTTTTAAAAACAGGATCAATGTAAACAATTAATATAATTTCATAAATTTACCTGGGATGAGCAATATATTTCACTAATACCATTTAGCCCTGTACCAGTCTATATTTTCATTTGAATTTATTTTTGTAAGTGTCATATAGTGGTGATTTCACAGCCAAACTTCTTTAAAAACTTCCACATTTATAATGATATTACATGAATATGTTTATGTATTTCATTCATTGGAAAGAACTGTAACCAAGTTTTCAAAGAATGTTTTCAGTTTTAAAAGGATTAAATAACTTTATTTATGGCTGCATGATAGGTGCTTGAGCTTCTGTCATAATTGCCAAGGAATGGCAAAATGATTAATCCTGGTCCCTTTCATGTTCTTCAAGCCTAGAAAAATATTAGATTAAAACATTAAAAAGATTTAAAAAGTAACATTCAAAAACACTTTTCTAACTGCATTTATCCTTACACACACACACACAACAACAACAACAACAACACACACTAAAATCAGTATAAATAATAAACCACAATCTTGAAAATAGATAGGGAAGCTGGTATCAATCGCATTATCTAAAATAGTACTCTAAAAGTGTATCAATATTGATCAATGAGCTCATCATCAAGAGCTGAGCAGTGGCAAACATGCAAATCTTCAAATCAATTAAATTCCCATTTAAATGAAGCTCCGAAGTCTACAAACTACAGTGTTCACAACTATTATACACTTATTATTGTACTGGTACACAATATCTATAAATTAAAAGAAAGGAGGAATTTTGTTAATATAATATTCCTTCTTTCATGCAACATTTCCCCTCACATACTTATAACCCATGTGTTTGTGTGTGTGGGAGATTTTAAAATAATACAAAAATAAACTTCCTTCTCACAAAAATTTGCCTATGATATGGCTATCACAAGGGGGGGGGGGTTCAAAAGAACCCCCTTTTTGCTGGAAAAAGGTCCACTCTGGGTAAAATTTGACCTAGGTACATGGGGATTATATGGTAAAAGGTCCACTTTTCACTGATATCAACATCCAACAACTATAAATCGACTTTCCCACACCTTGGACAGAGACCACAAGGAAAACACATGGGTAAATGTCCTAGCTAAGCTTTCTCTTGGGCATGATATATTATTCAATTTATGATAAAATAAAAAATATGTTCAAGTGATATATACCAACAAATTGATATGAAAAGCTACTCACTACTTGGGAATGTACATGTATATTCAGCTGTGTAACACTGACATCTTAATTGTTATAATACAAGCCTTTGAACTGTCAACACTTTAGGTCACTGAAAGTATAAAAAGGTAGATAAAATATTAAACCTATTATTTATTGGGCATTCTTGTACATGATAATAATAAATAACTGATGAATTTTTTATAAGTATATACAAGTTTCACTCCATTTTCATGGAAATTTCAAAATATTACATTTTTTTGTTTTATTTCATCTTACTTAAATCAAAATGCAAAGAAATAGCATGAAAAGGAGTATGCAGAATATCTAAAAAATGGCTTTCATATCCTCAAAAGTGACCTATCCCCCTCTCATAATATATCTATCTATACAAAATCAAGTATGCTGCATGTCATTTTGCAAGCCATTTCTATTAATAAACATTAAAGCACAAAAAATTAGCATAAGAAGGCAAATTCTAAATATTTTATTGTGACATTCATACAAGACATGAGGTAAGACTGCTCCCATATTCACTCTACTGTGATTGCCCCAACCACACACACTGTCATTTCATGAAGTATTTAATCTAGTTAACTTCAAAACACAAAAAAAATGCATGAAAATGCAAAAATTCAATACTAAACATCGACCTTCATTCAAGATGTAACACAAGACTGCCCATGTAGTTACTCGGAACATTGTAAAATATACTACCTGTCGGAAATGTAGAAAATCGGTAAGTTACAGGTTAGGTTCCTATCTAAATTTTTTACCTGTTCAAAAACAAATGTCAAACTATTAAAAAAACTGAACAGATAAAGAAAAATCATTGTTATCTGCATTTGGCACAATTCAAAAGAACGTGTTTACATTTGGGTTCTGTGTGCCGCCATTTTGGAACACGACAGTAACTTGATAGAAGGTTCAGTGAAACCGATACTTAAACACTACTATGGTATATAAAATATAGCTTGAGAATATACTTTATCGTTCCGTCAAGTGCATTAATAAAATTATCAACATATCAGCGTATAAACGTCTGTTCATCTTACCTGTCTCTATGCCTGCTTCTCCCGCCATATTTGGGACGGCCGCCCCTTCAGGTTTTGAAAACGAGGCCAAATCTAATATTCTCCAAAATAACCGTCATATGAGCCGGTGGCTCCCGGGCTGATAACACACAGAAAATGCTAATTTAATGTTCAAGGTTTGCTTTTGAAAAAAAGAATCGCATTAAAGAAAACATAGCACAACTCACTTTTCGAGATTCATATACCCAGTTACTTTTTCCATCCTCATCTACATAGTTCCACCATCTCAGGCCTACTAGTAACCTACCTGGAATGTGGAATCACTTAACATTAATATCTATTGAGGTAGAAATAGTATTCTATTAGTATTTGTTTCATAAGTTGGATGCCGTCATAGACTACATGGAATGCATTATCAAGAATCGAATCACACAATTATCTTTACAAGCTGTTTACAAGTTTGATTTTGGTGACAAGCCATAGACTTGACTTATTTCAGTGTTACAGTGTATTCTATAAACCATTTAATGTACTATTATAGGCATGGCTAATGTTTCACATCAATATTTACTTGATTTAAATGGAGTGGTATGGATTTACTATGGACTGGAAATCAAGCAGCCCAAAATTTTGGTCTAAAGTTTTGACCTATTTTTTTAGCAATAAATCTTTAGTGGGCCAGCTCCAGGTGTATACATACCAGATATATTTTTGACTGTCCAAAAGTCCATAGACAAGAGGATGACTATCAGTACAAAGCTAGTAATAAAGCTATCCACAAACCAACCACACAGTAGATATACCAATATTGAGGCAACTCGAAAGGCAAGGTGAAAAAATACCGCTACAGGATGCCTGGAAACAAAATCATCAATTAAACATATCTAGCATTTGACGTGTTGAAGAAACTGAAGTAAATTTAAGTAAACATAACACACACACACAAAATAATAATAATAATAATAATAATAAAAATAATAATAATAATAAATAAGACGGATGTGTGTGTGTGTGTGTGTGTGTGTTGGGGTGTATTGGATCGTGTATGGAGTATATTATAAATAGACGCCAGAAAAACAGTCACTGTTGCATATTAGCTCAGTTTTATAAACAAACGCCAGAAATGCAGACACTTGAAGTAATGTCCAATGCAACATTAACAATTTTATTACAATTTACGTTCACCATGAAAATAAAAAATATTGTACTGAAGTTACCAGTCTCCTCACAACAACCGCCAAGTGTTTGGGAACACAATATTGTGAGTCTCGTTTAGCATGCACGACGTGGAAAATCTGTGACTGCTTCTGACAGACACTTAGTATGCTTACCTAAATCTGCGCTGCCTGTCTAGTTCATCTTCGGCACCAAAGTCCAAGGCCACGTCTTCAGTATCGTCTAGCATCGGCTGAAAATTTAAATATATACATTTGAATGTTAGTTATACAATCACTTGAGTGAGATATTTAGTTTCTGATTCCTCACACACGTAGAATTTTTACCTTATCCGCCATTTTGAAACGTCACCAAGTAAGAAGCCTCGAGTTCACAAATTCGCGCACTGTGTAACGAGATTCAAAGAAACGGGTTTATGCAGCACTGTAGAAATGTCATAATCAGATTTGATTATTCATTTCATTAGTATATATAAATTGAAAACACTTACACAGTGCTTTAAAAACCATAATCCTAGATAAACAGTTCCACTCAAGACCGAGTCAGAACGTCGATCGTGTGCTTGATTGTTTGCGATTGTAATGGAAGGCAAATTCATAAAATTTTATCTTTCCGCTGCACAAGCATCACGTAGTCAATAATCACTCACAAACAGTAGAGGAGATGGCGAATAAAATTTGTTTTCTGATTGCAAAAAAAAAGGTTGGGGATGTGGCTGAAAAATTCAAATCAGAAATTAATGAAAATCGTCAAATTATCATTAATTTTGGTTTGCTAACAGAATTCTTACTTTACACCCGAATTCATAAAACCATACAAAAATGGACTTTCTCTTGCAAATTTCAATCTTCTTGCCTCTAGATTTGTGAGGTGCTGCCACCGCGCGAGGGAGACAAGCACTAAAACCAATGCCGCAGAAGAGAGGGCCTGATCTCGAAAAGAAAAACATAGCTACCTCGGCAGGTAAACTGAAGAGCCGAATGAAAGCAAGGCCACCAAATTAATTCTTTAAAAATTACAGAATTGTCACATAATCCACAACCAAGTTAAAGCATTTTCTCTTGAAATGAATCTGAGAAGGCTTACCGGAAGTGAAGAATAAACTAACGTCAGGGTGCTAACGTTAAGTCTGTTTACAGTACTATCCATACATAAAATAGTGTGGCAGGCAAATTACGATGGCAAGCTGGAGCCTTGGTAAACTCGTTATATTGACAATAGTCGGCAGCGTTACACTGGAACTCCTGTATTACACTTGGAATTATTTCAAAAGGAATCACCGGCATAAACATGGAAAAACGAAACCAAAACAACAACAGAAGAACATATTTCACAACGTCCTGTTCTTTCCTGACCAGCACATAGCTTGCAAGGAGCATTTCAACAGCTCTGATGGCTGTCTGAGAAGTGGTTGCAAGTATGCACACTCAGAAACCTCACTAACTCACATGCTAAGTTACCTGAGAAGTGCTAGAAAGACATTAGATTTGTGTGTGTTTGTTATAACATGCCATGAACTGTCGGATACAGTAATAGCTCTGCATGAAAGAGGTGTGACAGTGCGTGTAATTACTGACGATGAGCAGGTGGATATTACTGGATCCAAAATAGGAGCATTTCGTGCAGCTGGTAATTTACATGTATTTTTATGCCCATTATTTCAAACCTTTGGCCTTAAAACAGTGTTGAAAGCTACTGTATACAAATGTACAAGAAGTTTAATGTTACGTGACTTTTATATGTTGATGTTATAATTGTAAGTTAGGGTTCAAATTAAACTATAAGATATCAATTGCTGTGTTTTTAACAGTTCATGTTATAGTTTCAGTTTGAACCCCATCTTTTACTGGTAACGATACAGGTGTACTATCATTTTCATTACTCAATGTACCCGGTAGCATATATCTGGTGAATGTGCCTGTATCTTAAAGTGTAGCACCAGTGGTATTCTGAATGATGAGTCTAATTAAGCATAATTCATAATTATCAATTCACAAATAGGTGGGAAGAATTTTAAAAATCATATGTTTGAGATATAAAATATTATTTATATCATTTATTTTACACTGACAGGTATTCAGGTTCGTCAAGATAGATCGTCATATTTGATGCATCACAAGTTTGCACTTATAGATGAAGATGTCCTCATAAATGGCTCGTTTAACTGGACCAGACAGGCGGTGACAGGGAACAATGAGAATCTGTTGATCACCAATAGTAGAGATATTGTACAGCCTTACATTGAGGAGTTTGAAAGACTCTGGGAGCAATTTGATCCAAGAAATTATAAATGTTTACCTCATACAAATAGTGATCAAATTCACCAAGCTATCAGTTGATGTGTGTAAGAAAAGGAGATTTTATGTTTTTAGGGGAATGATTTCATTCAAAGAATTATAAAACTTAACCTCAATTAATTATGATTATATTATACCATACAATGTACTTTAATTAACAAAGTGTATGAAAAAGACATTTTTGTGAGCTGATAATCTCATATTAGTAGATATAAGTTTAACATTTTAATATTACCTTTAAACATTTTAAATCAAGCAAATACTGAGCAAATGCGATTACCATTAATGATAGAAAAACGGGTCAAATAGCATCCCTAGAAGACAAGTGTGTTTGTTTTCTGAAGCACAGTACATGACTATAGGCTGGGTATCTGTTTAAGTCAATATAAAAGGTCATGGCTGCATAGATATGATTGTAATATTGCAATTTACTTATACATGTATCTGTTCGTCCTTGGTGGCTGGAGAGAGAAATTCCTGAGACTGGTACACTTCAGTAAGAATTCAGCTTAGAAGCATTTGGTATACATGGACTAAAAAAGTACTAGTAAAAACCCAGTGGATTAGATTAATCATGGATGTCAGGATTTCCTTTGTGTTCATTTTAAACACTCTTCTGGGTGCGCAGGGTTTGCAATCGAGTGTGAAGGATGCTACATGCTGTGTTCCCACTCAGTTTGAGGCCAAAGTGTACATGGATGCAGAGTTGGTATTTCTGGATACAACATCATCTGTGTCAAGGCCACTGACAGCCTACAGCATGTTCAATTACACAGTGCACCTTGCCTATGACTATGACAGACAGCAGTTATACATGCATGCCAATGTTACTGAGACGTCGCCATTGATCCCACATCCTGTGACCGACTCTGTTTTGTACTTGTTCGATCACAAACATGTAAGCTTTTTCAGGAGATTGATTTTATTTAAAAAATTGTTGTGAAATGCAATTATAATTTCTAATAGATTATAGTAAATTTGTTTAACCTGTGCATTATACGTACACTGTAACAAGGTTTAATTTCATAAACATATAAAAGTTCTGGCAGCTCTCTACTGTAACTGTGATTTGTTGACTTTATTATTTATCAGTGCAGTGGAAGTTATTAGTGAATATTTTAATGAATACATTGTAATTGGTGCCAATGAATATTCACCTATTTAATTATTTGATTCATGTTTTTCTATTTGTTGCTTACAGTGATTTTTTTGTGTATGCAAAAATCTCTCTTGGTCAGTGCTTTACATATTGGGGTGTTTCTTGTTACATTCAGGGTGTTATGTATACTGTCAATGGTGGACATGACGGGAAGTGTCAGAAAGACAATTCAACAGTTCCCATGTCACAGCAATGCATACCAGGTAATATTTTAAAAGCTTAAATTGAAAATTTATATTTAAAGTTGATCTAAAGTTAAGGACAGAAAATTTGGATTTCTTCAATTCAGGATGAAGCAACTTTAAGGCCATTACTTTTTCTTCAAATAAAATGGTGAAATATTTTAATTAAGTGGATCACTAGGCTACTGTTGATCTAACTTGGGTCAAAATTAGGATAAAATTTTAAGTTAAAAGTTAAAAAAGTTAAGTTTTTGTGTAACCAGTCTTTGAATTTATCTTCAGATGATGCCTTGCTGCAAAGAAACAGTGCCATAGGAAACCCCAGTCTGCAGCCATTAGCAGCCAAAGTTTACCAGTATGAAGTGAAAGGAGACCCCGATGCTTTCCCCTTCTATATTCAGGCTTTTGTCAAACAAAATGGTAAATGATGCATTTACTAGTAAGATAAAATTTCTTCAGGAGATAAGTAAGTCATATCTGGATTCTTAGCTAATGCATTTTCTTTGAAACTGGTGTATATGTAGAACTTGGTGAAAAATATGTTATTTAATCATTTTGATTTTCAAGGAAAACAGTGTCTTCCCATGAAGCTCCATGTAGTCACTGCAGGTGGTTCTGGCACCATGAATGCTTGGGTCATGAACTTTGTAAACTTAACCCAAGGAATTCAGGATCCTAGCATCTTCAGTGTTCCTGGTCCATGTAGAGGTGCCACACAGGTGACTAAGATTACAACTGCACAGGTGTGTATTTGTTAAGTCTTATTTATTAATTTTTTTTCACATATAATGACTTATACAATAATACTTATACGAGCATCGTCATTCTCAAGATTATACATTTTAGTAGGTTTGACCTCCCAAGGAAATTGGCATCCTCTTGTGGATGTGTTTTCTCCTCACTATTTTCAAACTGGGAATGTGGATCACTCTCCATCTTTGTTTTCACATATTATCTGTGTCTTTTTCAAAGCAATTTAAAAGTTTTCATTCATATGCAATTGAGTGGCAGAGGATAATAATATTTTGGTTCTCTTTTAGGAACCAAAATGGAAACAGGCATTGGAAGTGTTACTTGGGACAATCAATTAAAATAAAAATAATTTAGCATGATCCTCATCCAACAGGCACTCAGGCAGCGATTTAATACTTATTACTGAACCAAGATATTTTGCTAAATTGAACACTTTCCTCATATAAAGTCTTTTCATTGTCTTTCGCAATTTCTTTCATAGGAATTTGAAAAAAAAAAATTATATAGCCTCTTCTTGATGGTCAGAGTAGCAGGTACTGATACAAAATAATTTGGAACCTTTATCTGGACTTAGTCTAAAAACTGATCAACACGGCTTTGAAACACCTCAACCTACTCTTAGGACCTTGGATGGTTACCAAGGACTTGTCTGATATGGAAGTTATGATTTAATTTAAAATAGTTGTATATTATCTCAGCTTGATATATTATGACTTTCGTAAACTTGGAAGGCACAGTTTTTGCTTCTTTTAAGATACAAATGCTACTAAACCACAGAACTGCTTTTCTCAGGGATTATAAATATTATGTATTAGCCACTTTTTACCATGAAGCAGTGGAAAGAGTAGTGATTACAAATGCAATGAAAGCTTTAATGACATTTATGAACTTTTATTTTAATAAATTTCTTAACATCCTTGAAAAAACTAATTAAATTTAACTCAACTGTTCTGTGCTGAGAGAGAAAAACTGGTTTTGTCTCGGCACTGACAAACATGCATTGCACAAAGTTATAAGACTATAAATGAATTTGCAATTTAATTTCTATTTAACAAATACAATTTAACAATAACACCTCTACAATCTTAACAAAAAGAAATAAGGAATGGACTACAACAACATTACGATAATGGCCTTCACTCCTGGTGAACAACTACTAGCTATTTAACGATTCTACAGTAAACTCTTGAAACAAAAGCAAGGCTATTCATGATCAAGAATCGGGTTAGTCCAATAAATCTCTTCACCGATTTACAATGTGGACTCTTGGCATCTCTGATTGATTAATAACTGGACTCTAAATACTAAAGATGGCACTTTTGCTTGTTACTACAACACCTGATGATAACTAGATATAATATCTCTCAATTTAGGTATGTGAGATATTCTATGCCATTGTTGAGAAATTAATACTTTAAAAGGAGTACACCTGCTCCTTTGCACAACAAACTGAGAAAAACTTGTGTCAGAGTGAAAAAACTAATACCACTTTGCCTCCTAAATACTTATGGCAGCTCATTTAAAATAAACTGAAGATATATACTAAAAATAAATATAAAACATAAATGCACATTTTTTATATAAAATCTTTTGTCTTTGATGCCCTTTCCTCTTACATCACTCACTTTTCAGGATATCTTTCACTTATCACAGTAACTATAATTAAAAGGCATCACATTCAATTACAGGGTGCCTATGGCATTTCTGCAGCAGCCATGAAATCAGTTTAACTGCAACTGAATGAAGATCATGAAACAAAACAAATTTGAAATAAATTTGATTAAAATTCATCTTGTCAGACAAAAGGTAACCGGTACAGTATGTAGATATGTAAACTTTATAGTACTACTTGGACAACAGATTCAATTACTGCAGCACTAATAAGTACTGTTTATACATATCAACAAATGAGTACATGTGCAAATTGTGACCTTCACAGCAGGTGCATAATAAGGTGTTATCGCTTTCCGAGTCACTGAAAGATATTTTAATAGCACAAAAGCTAAGAAACTAATACTCTGGAGCAATTGGTCCTCCTTAACAGCAATTGACCTCACAATGTCACTTTATCTTCACTGCTGTTGACAATGCTTTCATTCCTTTATGTTTACCATTGCATTTGTCCAAGGGGAAAATCATCACTTGGTCATGACAATGGCCCACATAATCACAGGTATATCATTCTTTGCATTTTTAATCCACAGCAATGGGTACTTTCATGGCATAATTTTTCAATTTTCTCCCTTTTTCTCCATGGCAGGTTTGCTACATGCATCTTTCCCCTTTCTTTTTCCTCTTGAAACAATGATGAACATGCGTGTATCACAGAAGCAACAAGACTATACTGCAAATTGCTTTTAACAAGCTGATTTTCTCAAAAGTGGACCTGATGATGTAGATATGCTACAAAAAAGAAAGAAAAAGATTGCTGACTGTATATAGAATTCCAATAAAATGAGGAAGAACCATATGCAGAGATAACATTTTCCAAACAGAAATTTAATTTATTTAATAGCAAAAACAGATTGCCATTCATGTTCTAAGTACACTTTTATATAAGTTATGTTTAGCACAAGGGGAGAACTGATAAGGCATTTTTTGCAGAAATCTAAATGATAAAAATGGAAGACAAAACAAAATTGGAAAAATTCGAAGGTTAACATTAACTTACTGATTCTCAGGCTGTGCTTCACAGTAACATTATCAATTGTACATGAAATTATACCTGGGCTCACTCCCAAGGTTAAAATTTCTTAAAGCAAATCTGTTGAATAACTTTGGCCCAGTCAAAATTTGAACTGACTAAATAAATAAATAAATCTTACATTTTCTTTAGACAAAATTTAAGGCATATTATTAACATTTTGCAAGGATTTACTATGCTAAAATTAACCAAACTTGTGATACACTCTCTTTCTGGGGTGGTGTTCTTACCATTCTACTAAATCAGCTCCAATAATGTCATGAATGTGGTAGGCCATTCCTAGTTTGGCAACTTTTGGCAGCTTTCTGGTTTCCAGGTCCTGAGGATAAACATTGTTATAAAATACATAACTTATCAATTGCTATAACTTTAAATATCCAAGTCTAATAAATAATGAATATTATTCTCAAAGACACAGTACACTAACATTTCATTGCTAACATGTTTTTTCAATTAAATACCAGGAAGGTATAGTGCCCATTATTTAATCATGTTTCATTTCCTCAGTATTTTTCAACCACATCTTCATTACCCCTATGATAAATATTTGGTGTGTAACAAGTTTGTACCCTTGGACATTTTGAGAAAGTCCTTGACAGCCACCATTCTCAATAGTAATTGATTGGTTTCAATGAGATAAAAACCAAAGAAAGTTTGTTTTTTGGTGATTTCCACATCTTTATTACCCCACCTATATATATCAGGTGGGTGCATTGTTTGCCTCTAAACCAGCACTCACATTTTGTAGTGTCTCTTTATATTTGCTCTTTGTGATCATCATTAGGACAGCTTTTCTGCCTCTGGTAAAGCTCTTCATAAACAGTCCAGCATCAGGAATGGAGACCCACCAACTTCCTATGTCCCTCACTGTGAGAACACTGGCCTTTACCAGTTGACTAAAACACAGAATATATCTAATTAATGAGCTAATTGTTCAATGTATTTAAAAGAAGGTAATTAACACAAAAAATTCCTACAAAACTGACTCTATGTATGCACTGATACACAAATGTAGTCTTTGTCTTCTACAATCTGAATCTTGTACTTGATATTCCAGTGATCACTCAAAGCAAAGGTCCCAGAAATCTACCAGCTCGTCCGAATAAAAATAAAAATAACTTAGAAGTTACAATACAGATGATACAAAATGTATCATACCAGCAGCAGCCACTGCTATTGCCTCATACTACCATTGCAGCTCAATCTATACTCACGTAATTTCTTCATCTGTGTATCTGTACTGGTTGATCATAGTTTGTTTATTGACACTGACATCTGGGCAACCACAAGCTATTTCAGTCAGGAATCTGTCTGGAAGTTTATGCACAAAACAATGTACAAGAACACAAATGTCTAGACGGGTTCACTTTATCATTTTAAAGTCTTAAATATTTCAAAAGCATTTTTATCAAGTTACATAAATTATTTTAAAACAGTGAGACAGATAATAAAGGTGAAATGCCAATGTTTTAAGCCTGATACCATCAATAAACCATACATCTTTAAAATGTACATGTACATCCAGGAACACATTTTCATCATTATTACAATTACTATCATCATTGTAACTGTATGTCATCAGTTTTAATGTCTACCCATATGTGATATAAATGGCAAACAATTGTTGTCTCTTGAAAACTACAAATTTCTTGCTCTTTCTTACTTATGAGTCCTCTGTGCACTGCAATCTCAGCAGTCGTCTTTAGGACATGTGATTTGTAGTCTGCAGTAAAAACAATACAGTATTCCTCCATCTCTCCACCTAGTCTGAAAAGTCTGATTTCTCCACTTAATCGAAGATCTTCCTATCATTAAAAAGATAGTAAAATAACAATAATAAATTAAAAATTATAATTTTTTCAAATTTTTTATGAAAAGCGCAATTATGTGTGACAGCCATTTCCCTTTTTCCCTACAGGGATACCAATGTAATAATCAACCTTTCCTATTTGACAATGTATATTTTGTTAAGGCAGTAGTATACAAAATATACACCATTTCCAGTATAATTTCAGAATCAAAAGCATCTAACATACTAAATACTACCAAAGTTATGAAGAACGTTGAGAAAAGGTCAAAAAGTTGGAAGTAGAGTTGATATTTGCACATAAGGTTGTGGTTTGGAAGTCCATTGCAAGTGTATATGTGTGTATACATGAGTGCATGCATGTACGTGTGTTCTTTCTTGTGTGTGTGTGTGTGTGTGTGTGTGTGTGTTTGTTTTTGAGAGAGAGCGAGAGAGAGAATAAATTTGTCATGAACATACCAGTTGCTTGTCCACCACTGTTCTATTTTTCAAGATACTATACAACTGATGTTTGAGAATAATAGGTGGCAACCTTCCTTCAAACTTTTCAACAGGAAACAAGTTCTTAAGGTACAGCAAGGTGGCTTTGGTGTCATTTGGCACATTATTTTCTGAAAAAAAAAGAAGCTGAAATATTTAATCATCACTTTTTCATATTACATTTTCATTTTCCATATCGATATATCAAAGTGTTCCAGATACATTTATGCTTAATATTAGACTGAATTTACACCAGCTTCTTCATTTTCAAATGTCCATACGTTTCTTTATCTGAGTGCAACATGTTTACGTTTATTTCCTATTTATCACATTAAAGCTAAATCTATTTAGGGCCAAATGCTCATTACCAACTGTGGTCCAATTTTTCAAATGGAAAAAAATCATTGGGTGCTGATGCGGTAAGTGGAAGAAATGAACTATTGAACTACAATATGCATTTTACATCAGCCCCCCTCTTCCCCTCCAAAAGCTTTTACGTTCATTAGTTTACAAAATTAAATCTTGTCAACCAACTCTGTTAACAGATAATCACTGCTTATTAACCAACTTATAAATTTTGGACTTTTTTTGTAAAACAGACCCCTGAATGTACATGTATCAACTTATACTATCTATCAGAATCTATACATTACCTAGTGGTTCTTGATTCCACAAACTGGATGAAGTTTCTACGTTCAATGTAGTGCCATTCTTGGGGGCCAGACAGACCTTCTTCCTGTGTCTGTACACATCTGGGAGCAGAGAACGCTTCCTACTCATGATTCCACAAAAACCAACCTTAAATACATGAAGGGACATGGTTAAAATAAATTCACTTTTTCTTTCATGCACATAAATTTATAGTTGGTAACAACTAGGAGCAAATGCAATATATCTAGTGAAAATGCATGTACATTATTCATGATTTATTCAAGGAAGTAATTTTTATTTTATTTATATTATTACAACATAAACCAACAAGAAATATGTATCTTTTAACTGTCTCTTCTGAAACTTCAAACAAGATGTAAATTCTATTTCATATCTACATATTATATTAAATTACTTAATTAGAAAGTAGGTAAAATACTAAAGTTCTGGGGCAGGCCGTGTGTGATTTAAGAAAAGGAACAATTTACTGTTTTATTTCTAGGAAAATATGATTTAGCATTAAAATCCTGGATATTTCCAAATACCTTCAATCAGGAGGTTAAGTTCTACTGTGTACACTTTGGGAGAAATATTGTATCAATTTTGTTTTTTTCCCCAAAGTGTAAATTTGTGGACCAAAATACCCATGATTTGCCTATTTCACATACATATTACTCTGCTTGGAAAAATCCCAAAACCAAAATTCCAACCTAAACACCTATATCTTTATTGTGTAACAAAAATCTAGTGTACGACAATTTTTAGGGGTTGAAAATCACATTGGACAGCTTTTGATCATACTTAGATACATAACAATATGTGGGTAAAATTTACAATTGAAGGGGGGGGGGGGACAGTGACCCCTAGTAGCCCTACAATTTGAGTCAGTTTTTGGTTTTACCACTATTACTAGGACATGCTAGGTACATGTGCTTTATACCTAATTTTTCACATAATCTCAAATTCAAGACACAAAACAGCACAGCCAGTTAAGAAAATTATTGTACATGAAGATAAAGGTAGTTTTGGTGCCGAAAACTTACACGCCCTGAATGTGTCATGCGCTTGCTACATTTGCGACGTAACTCGTTTTTCAGCCCAGATATTTTTACAGTATATTTACCCTTTTAACATATTCAAATAAAATGGGAACTCTAAATCTAAATTGTCTTGATTTAAAAAGAAACCTGCCCCTGTGGTTTAATTTATCGTTAATCAGGTTCTTATCCTAACAAAAGTAAAATAGCGAAAAAGCTAACCTGTTTATGCAAAAATTGGGACCGACACCTCCATCTTGAAATGATTGATCACGTGTATAACTTGGGTGTTTTCATTGGACAAAGCGCCGACTTCCGGCAATATGCAGTGCAGCGCGAACTTGGACTCGGGCAGTCTTTAGTCTTATCGCTTTGATGCATTTTAGTTTCTGAATTCTCAATTTGTCTTATCATGCCCCATGAAGAGACACGCAGAAGAGCAAGATGAACATTTACATAAGGCCAGAAAGAGTGAAAATACTTCAAGTCCACATGGACGACCAGCTGCCTTCAGAGTTCATCCTGCCACGAGATTCGAGGGAAAATTTCCATTTTACAGACAGCCAAAGGATATCGGTTGCTTTTCACTGGACGCAGACAGGTTTTTTTACAACGATAAGAGTCAGTTGAAATGGCTTTATATGCCAGAGAATGTAAATAAAGTAAACTTCAATCTCAGGCATGGTTACAAAGTATTTCGGAAAAGGGACGATAGTGTCAAAGATTACATTGACGACTTGTTGAGATGGATCCTGGTGAACAGAAAGAAATTTTTGTTGCCAGGTCAAGACGAAGTATGTGATGGTGCATTTCCTCCTAAGTAAGGATATTGAGCAAGGCATTACGCAAAGGACATTGATTATGTATCTCATGTAGTTGTAAAAATGAGAAATGATGCTCCAACTAAAATTTATAGTTTTCTTTTAGTTTGTATTTTTTTACCTGTTTAGATTACTCAGTTTGATTAAGCAATAATATAACAGTAATAATCCATATCTGAACATTTTGTATTTTTGCCCTTTGAGGAGCCGTAAGAAGGTGATCTTTTGACAGGATTTTATATTTTTCATTGTGTTATTAATTCTGGTCATCTGAGCTATTATTGGTCCCTTATGGGCTATTACGTGAAATATATGCATGTGTGTGAATTTTGTGTGTATATTTTTGGGTCCTCAAAGAAGCAACAAATCTTTGTCGCTTATTGATTATAGCAGGGCTAGATGCATAAAAAAACATTTGTTTAAAGAATTGCAGTCTTATTCAGTGTTTATAAAAATGAAGACAAGGTTTTTAAAGAATTATTCAGTTTTGTAATTTTTTTCCTTTACCGTTTTCAGCCTCCATACTGATTTTGTGTGTTGGAGGGGCTTGCTGACCAAGCTGCTGTGTACCCCATATGAGAACAAAGATGGATGGCTGATAGGTGTGACCAAGTTTAATGGCACATATTACATGTGTGAATATGACACGCCAGAGAAGATTGCCGAGAGGGAGACTATGTCAGAGAGGCAGGATGAAATGTGCTACTGGGGTTATAAGTTTGAGCAGCACATGGTAGCTGGTAGGTTTTAGATGGATCTAAAAGACCTCTTACCATGTACAACTATGTTTGTTGACAATTTGTTTGGTCAAATGTATTATCTGTTACTGTGTGTGTTTAGTTGTTGTTGCTTGTAAGATAATTGCTTACCTCATGAGATAAAGAACATAGTTTTGAGGACCTGTGTATATCTGTTCTGTTGAATCTCCTTATAGATTCTGTTTTGCAGCAATGCTTTGAAGTTAAGAGCTCTTTTGAATTTTAATAATATTATTAGTTGGTTGTGTATGGTAGTTATATGGCCAAAATCAGATAATTATATATTGTTTGCATCTGCAAGACATATAATTTAAAGTTACACTAAGTACACTAGAGTACAAAGACTTTAAGTTTGTAACATCAGTACAGTTAAAAATTAAGACTACAGCACAGCATACTGTAACATTACAAAGCTGTATTTGTCAATTAAAAACAATGGCCCAGTGGCACAAGTAAGAGCCTATTTGATGCCTATAAATGATTATATTTTGCGTGGGGACACTTTTGAAATTAATTGCTTTTCAGCAAAACCAGACAGTCAACCAGACACTTGTGTTCCTGTTAGTAATTATGAAGCATTTTGTCTTGTTGTAAGAGGAAGACTAAAAGAACATTCTCTTGGTGAGTAATCTGCAAATACCTGGCATAATAAACCTTAGGCAAGTACTATACATATTCTTATTTTGCTAAGAAATGGGAATTTATTTTACTGAAATGTATAAATAATTAGAGTGATGTGCAAAATGTGCAATTTGATTGTACTGTTTTCCAGTGTTTGCTGGGGAGACTGACTGTTATGATACCAAAGAAAAATGTTATGTAGAATTAAAGACATCAAGAGAGATATATCAGCCAAACCAGGATAGAAATTTCAAAAGGTATGTGGTCTTAATATATTTTGGTTGATATATCAAATCTTAACTCATAATAATAGAGATAAAAAAGCAAAAGTCAGTTTATTGGTTATATAATGATAATGATGATGATAAAGGCGAATTTCTGCTTAAAAATCAGTCTAGAACTTTTTTGTCACTTAGATTCATCACAGTCAGTTCCATATTCTTCCAGGTTTAAGTTAATCAAGTGGTGGGCCCAGTCATTCCTACCTGCTGTTCCTAAGGTTATCTGTGGTTTCCGTGACGATGATGGCGTGGTCAGACAGTTGAAGACTTACCGCACTCTTGACATGCCCAACATTGCCAAGGTATATCAGTATAAAAGTATCAGCATTGTGAATTACATTTAAAAGTTGCCTTGTTACTTGAATGTAATAGCCTTTTTAGTAAGACTTTAAAGGTTCCAGTTTGTTTGTTGTAGATTTTTATCCATGTTTAAAGAAATTTTACTGCATATAAGTTGCATATATTTTGAACTATCAGTATACTTTCCTTGTAATGATTATTAGATTTAAATCTTTTTTCTAAAATTGTTTGTTGATAAATTTAAGCTGGAATAATCAGTTACGGATAAGTAAATTAGAAGATTATGAATTTAGGATATCCCCAACCCTTGGGATCCTGCAGTTTGTATGAACTTCTGTGATCAGTTCCTGACATTTGTCAAGCAAGTTGTTCGAAAAGATGACCCTAAGTAAGTTACAATAATAAATATTCTACAGCTTCTACTTTTAGCTGACCTGGATCATTGTGTGAGGCTCTGTTCTGTTCGTATATATTTGCAAAATATAAAGATTTCAACTTCAATATAAAGACTACAACATTTTTATTCAAACTAGCACCTTTTTTCTTTATTTAATTATTTATGTGTGTAATAATTTGTAATGGATGGTCACCATTATAACATGGCTATGTCCTTTTAGAAAGTTCTATTTTGTGTAACATTTCCAAACATTTTTTCTGTGATAAAAATATAAATTTCATAATTTTTTTTCTGTAAAATTCATATCAGTATAACTTTGAAGGTCTCATTGGCCAAAACAAGCCCTAAAGGTTAAATAAAAGGTTGGCTGGAAACTCTATACCTCTCATCAGTGTCCCAATTACTAACTTATTTCCCACCCACAAAAATGATTTTTTTTTTTGTTTTTACAGGATTGTTTACATGTTCAAATGGTATCCAAGACAAGACATCACTTGGACTGAGCACCCACAAGACTCCAAGTTTACCTTTTTACCAAGCTGGTTTACTGACCCAGACCAACAGGGAAACAGTGGCAGTAAGCTGGAAACAAGTGCATCTTCTTGATAGTTCAGTCTTAGCTGAGTTTTCAGTATAATCAGATTTTGAACTGTGACATATTTCTATTTATTAAGGATTGTATTTAATGGTACTTTATGCTGAAACTATAAAGTTGTTTGTCCCAGAAGACAAGGCAACAGGTTTAAGTGTGAAGGCAATTTTGCAAAATAGTTAAGATCAGGTACTGCTTACTTCATTTTACATAAATCTGCTTTTAGGATCTTTCTCCTTTACAACATCCATGTTATAACCTCTGATATCTGTTATCTCTGTTTTATAGTATGAAGTAATTGTTATACATGAACAGAAAACATCAACTGCAACACACCTGTTCAGACTGTCAACTCTCTGTGGTTGTTCTAAGGCTGTTAGAGTTGTATGGATACTATTTGTGAAGCATTAATTTTGATAATTGTACCTGTCCATACAGTGTAACAGTAATCTTTCTGAAAAGTCCTAAAATTTTTTTTCCACCCCAAACATAAGATGTGGCATATTTATCGTCAAGCTTCCTTTTTCTCTCCTAATTTTTGTGCTGCACTTTCAAACATAGCTTGTGCTTCCTGAGCTGCTTTTCTTGCTTTCTTTGAAGATTCTTCTTTCTCTCTATCTTCTTCCAAACACCTTTTGTAGTTCTGAAAAGGTAATCTGGCTGATTCCACCAAAGGCTTGGTGATGGGAACAGTGGCTTGCCTTCATTTTTTGTAACCACATCATTGGTTAACCTCAGACCATTGACTGATTGGGTAGTTAGTAGGGCTCTGTCCTGAGTGACTGTCCTCTTGTTGACATATAGACTTCTTACAACATCTGCATTGCTGAGGATTAAGCAAAGGCATGCTTTCACAAATTGAAGCCTGCCTGTTCCCAATTTTATGTTGAGGACATTCCTCCAGTAATGATCAGTGCGGACATTTGATGCCTTATTGTTAATGTACCAGTGTAAAGTCATAGTATTGGGAAGTCCTTTTCTGTTGGCCCTCACTATATCACAAGTGGGTGTGGACCTTCTCACACTTTTGTTAAAATTATCCTTGTATCTTGTGTAAAAATAATCCTTGTATAAATGGTGGCCTTTATCTAAAAAACAATTCGTGACAGACATAATGACATCATGTGTAGCACCATTGTTAGTTCCGTTTTCATCTTTTCTGGTGTAGACTTGTAAGTTACTGACATAGCCAAATATTGCCTTCTGGTTCCTTTGTCAGCCTTTTCAGCTGTGCGTATGTGCTTTTTGGGTTCTAGTCAACCTTTGGTTCGTTTCTCACAGTAACCAATATTGTATGTGGGATTGAACTAACTTCGTTGTTCAGTGGGTATGGTGGCAGTGCAGGTAGATCCTCATAAGTAAAGTAAACTACTTCTATGTGTAACTGGGCTTATTTGTTATTATGTTGCTACTTGGGTTAGATCTTCAGCCATAGAAACAAAACAGTGTGTAGTCCTCAAGGACTTCACACTTGTCAGGTGTTGTAACCCCTCAGAAAACTCATTCTTAAATTCTCGACCTTTGATCAGGGTGGATTCTTTCTGGAAAGCCATACCAGAAAACATGGTCGTTAAAAATCTTGTCCGCAGCAGTCTGCCCCAACGAGTTTGTAGTGGCATAAGCAATTGCGAATCTAATGAAATGGTCCACCACAACCAGGAAGTACTGGTATCCACCCTTGCAGGTTTCCAGAGGAAGGAAGTCAATTGATATCATTTGGAATGGATACTTCGTCTCAGTAGGTTGCAGTGGTGCCAAAGCTTTTTAGTTTGGTGGTTTGTCCTTTAAACACTTACACAAGTGCTTCACAAAGTGATCAATATCTCTTGCCATGTGGGGCCAGTAGAAGCAGTTTTGGGCAAGAGACAAGACTTTGTCTGTTCCCAAGTGCCTATGATTCATGTGTAACTCTTCCAGAACAATTGGATGGAACTCTTTTGGAAGTACAATCTGGTGACTTCTTGTTCCTGATGGGCACCGTGTTACCCGTCTCAAAACACCATCTTCACCAACTGTTAATATCTCCCATCTTTGGAGTAAAGTCTTACATTCAGGAGATAAATGTTTCACGGACCTGTGACTTGCTTTTGTGCCCAATTCTACCAGCTTTTTCACAAATAGATTTTGGATATTCTCTTGACCTTACCTAGGGGCTGGTGGTGCAGATACTGTGGTAACCAGTCTCCATCGATGTCCACCATGTTAACATTCACTGGGATTAAATGGAGAATCCTCCTGGCTATGAACGGCCACCATCTGTAACTGCCGTTCACCAAATTTCAAGTTGGCTAAGTACGAGATTGAAGAGATCAGTTACAGTGGACTCCATCTTGATGCAGAAGATGCAGCCTCATTATGATACCTCTAAGTTGAGGGTTCAAGTTATAAAAAATAAACTTGGACATTCTCAAACAAAAAAATGTGTGACCTTTCCGAGCCACTGCATTTATCACTTGCATCTAAAAACATTTGTGGTTCACTGTTATATATGTACAGTACTCATCCAAAAACCCAGGACTGTCCTTCCTACAACAGCACCTTCGAAATAATAATAAATACCAAACTGTTCTACAAATAATGCAGCATGTCAGAGTAAAATCTCTAAATAGAACTGCCACATATTTTACATAATGACAAAATTACCTTGCTTGGAATAATAATAATGTGAGATATAATAAATCATGTGAATTAAAAGTGAAAATCTTATATCCCGTTCACACTACAATCTGAAATATCCTAATATTTGCAATGCAAATTACGGGTGAAAAATCTGATTCGGTTGTCTGGCCACACACAGCAAAGGGAAACTGAATTGTGCACTGAAAATCCAGATAGAGGTTCCGGTTTGAAGAATCGCGCTTGCGCAGAATCTATGAAAATCTTGGGCTATGTCATTGTAGACATGCTGATTCCTCTTCTTTGTTAGGCTTTTTTGGTGCTTATCCTACCTCCATATGTCAATCAAACAAGAAATTTCTTTGTGGGTCCACTGACCTGGCATGTTGCTTTACTTTCCCGCGAGATTTGCTGGCGCATTCTCGATCAGCCTAAGCTGACCAGCCAAGGAATCAATACACGGTACTCATCACTAGAAATACTCCTTCCCAGCATCTACCCTTGACCAGGTCGTACCCCTCCTGGCCAGCAACATGGTGTTCTTACTCAACATTGGGCCCCAGCCGGTCTAAATACAACCGACGCCCATTCTCCACAGTGATCTTGAGGATGTCTTCCCAGTCACACCCACGAATTCTTGCCACGACTTCTGCTACTTTCCCCAGGAAAGCTGGAGTTGACTTATTCCTTGTTGGAAATCCGAAGTAGGGAGCATCAGTTTCCAGCAATAACCTTTGAGCAGGCATCCACTGTAACATCTCCATTGCTCTCCTACCCCTAGACGTATCCATATACCTCCTAAAGATAGCAGTAGCTCCAAATTCGGTATTGGAAAAATATTGTACTCACTTCTCTGCCATCCTCCTGGACCCTGTGAAACATTGACAGTGAATTAATTGATCACTTTTCCCATTCTCAGCCAATCAGGGAATGTTTAAAACATGTCCCCAAACCAGGTTAGTAGCTGAGTCATCCTTGGGCCCTCGACAGTGGAGCACTAGTACCTGGTCTTCTCTTAGCAACGTAAGAGTTCTTTCCAGCACTTCACACTGCGCTTCCCACTGCCACGATGAGGTGGTGAAATCCACACCAATCTCACCCAGAACAGACACTTCCGGGTTGCTGGCTGCCTGTTCAAACTTTGCCCAACCCTCTGGGTCAAACTCATGTCCGGGGTGCCAACCCACCAACACCACGGCTTCCTCTGCCTTCAGAGAAGCCACCTCCTCAGCACTTGGATATGTTGCTGGGTCACAGAATATAACAGTAGCCCCGGGAACTGTTATTTCCTTGTCATCCACCTGTCTGGCCTCGATGACATCCTTCAACCCAGCTGTTGCTGATAATTCCAAGTGCTGGCACACACGATCCACATGACAATGACTGTCATATCCTACTGGAGGCTTAGGAATAGCCAGCTCTTTATCCTCTTTGTTGGAACATGTGCTCCTATACGCCTCCTCTGACGGCCATAACCGACGGCTATCAAGCTCAGCAAGGGTTTTCACAACAGCAGGGATCCAATTCTGAGGGCATACTCGCCTGATAACCCCAGGCCTTGGATAAATAAGTTTATCCACACCCTCCTTTCTACTCGGAGGAATCTCCTGATCCCTCTGCTCCAAAAAATCACAGGCCAGGCATAACCTGTCCAACTTTGCCTGCATCCCAAACAGCCAAGTTGCGAGAAGGTGAAGAGCTCCAAATCTTCTTATTTTCATTCCCTTGCTGTCAAACATCGGATGAAACACAGGAGGGATGTGTTTAGTCCATGCATGTTTCTCCGTTAAAACGCTATTACATCCAAACATTGGACACATGTTAGGACTCGGCGCACTAGGTCCTGCGCCCACGGCACTGGCAACTCCCCCTTGACTGGAGCAACCACTCTGCCTTTGTCTCTTAGCGTGGGCCCATGTACCCAGCTCCTCGAGACCACTCTTTGAAGGTTTAGTTCCAACCTTGCTCGATGAACTTCCCTTGGAGTCATCCCGTCTGCTCGATGAACTCCCCCTGGAGTCATCCCGTCTCGCCTTGGACACATCTTTACGATCCTTGGCCGCTTTCCTTGAAAGTGGGCAATCCCTGACTATGTGCCCCAGTTCAGAACATCTGAAACACCAATCTTCCTCAGACAGAGTTGGACACTTTCGAGCCACATGCCCCACTTTTTTGCACCTGAAACACCTTTTCTCCTCATCCTTCTTGGGAACTTTAGAAGGTACCTTAGGAGGTGCTTCATGCCTTGTTGATTCCTTGGTTTTTAAACAAACCCTGCCCGACTCTTAGGCCGTGGTTGGTAAGAGCCCTCAGTCTTAGCTGACTTTTCTTGACTCTGTAACGCTACCAAACCACCCGGACTTGGTTTCTTAACAGCCTCCACGTACGTTAGCTTTTCCCGCAAGTCCATCTCATTACCCCAGCTGGTAAGGGTAGCCCTCGGTGACCTCCTCACTGGACTTGAAGGTGTATCCACCTCCATTGACTCAGTAGGAGTCCTCAGTATACTGTCTGATACTGACCCCGGCTCCTCACTCTCCTCTCGCACTGCTGCCTCCAGACTTCCTCTAACCACAGTGCTCGGAGTCACTATATTCACCCTGTGCTCCAAAGTAGGGTCCTCTTGAAGTCTGACATCTCGATATGTGGCTTGCCACGCCTCTCAAGTACCCTTCCCTTTTCTGGGAGTGGCAACCCTGGCAACATGCTCACATACCCAACTGCACGATTGAAAACCCACAGACAACAGGCCCTTAGCACAATCTTTGCGCCAAGCCTACGCATCTCTCTCCCTTGAGAGTGCCACCTGCTTCAGCAACAGTGCCTTAGCATCCCCCTGCAAGGCCATTGGTCGGCTTCTAACAATACTGGATTGAATAATATTGATGGGCTTACCACTACATGTTTTGTTGAACAAATTGTAAGTTCAAAATTTATATTTCTTAAAATAACTGCATGATCATGCATGTTCTGTAACTACTTGACTAACTTTGATGCATTGATTTCCTCAAACATGTCATCTGACATTGACTACTTTGGCACAGTTGTCCATTTACATTTCTTAACATTAACTTTTTTACATCAGGTGTATACATTGGGTGTAATGTCAATGTCACGAGTCATAATCATTGAAAACTTGTTCAAAATACAAAACTAATGCAATGAATCATCAACTTCTAAAAGAGCAATGAGGTGTGACATGAGCATTAATATCTTTAAGTGTTAAAAGAAACTGTGCAGAAGGTTTCCTCGTTGAAGTGGTTGAACAGCTTTAAATTAAGAGAAACCAAAGCCAATCATAATTAACATAACATCATATGTCGTCAGTATTTAACAATGAACATCACATGCTCAGCAAAGTAACTCACACATAAGTCTCAAGTACCTAATTATCTGTTATGTATACTATACACCATGCATGACCTACTGAGTATGACTGGGATAGACCCACAGATCCATTTGGCACATGTTTGTTCATGAAAATGAGGGGTCACCCTCCGATATGAAGCACTTGGGCGTGATGTGTCCTGGTACGTTGCTGCAAATGCTTACACTCAGGAACTGGTGCTCATGCTCCAAGTGCAGTTTCACACTGTGGTTAGAGTTTTTCACAGGTGGTAGCAGGTACACGATATCGAAGGTTGCCTGATAAGGGTATTATCTATCTTCCTTGGGGATAACCAGACTGTAATCCGCCAGTTTGTCAAAAATTGTTGGAGGTGTATTGTACGCTTTACCTGGGAAACACTATTCCACAATAGTTTCACATGTCTTTTTCGTGACGATGAAGATCACCTTTATGCTTGAACATTTTGTCGCCTTTTGGGCTGGCTGAGAGGCAGGTATGGCATAAATGTGCAAAACGACAGTTCTTCATGCCACATCCGTCTGCCGTAGAAATTCAAGCGAACAGGACAGTCTAAGATGGAGTCTATTTCATTCTGTCTTGGCTGTCTTGTGCTCCTTTGATGTTGTGTAGGGGCTTGTCTGGGCATAAAAAGTAGCTGCATCAGGAAGACGTTGTCTGTCCCCCACTGGAAACCCTGAACTGCCTGGAGCTTCCGATACTCTGCATCATATATGAGCAGGGACGTCCAAGTAAAAGTCTGGGCCATACACGCTATTTTCATGACATATCCAATGTAGCTACTGTGTTTCTGACGGGGGTCTCTTGTTGAGATGGACATGTTCTCTTAATGACACTGAAAGTAACATATAAAAAGTTAAAATAACTGCACTTGGACCAAATCTCGTATATAGTTCAATCAAATATAGTTCTTAGAAACTTTCTTTACTTTGACACACTTTAAGTGGAGCCACTCAATCTCACAATTGTCACTGTCAAAGGCAATCGTGTCATCCAACTCCTCTGGTCCATTGCAAACACAAAATGACTGTGTTGAAGCTGTTTCTATAATCTTAGGTGAGGAGTAATATTTACACAGCAATTCAGGGATTACTGCACTGGTGAAAAACTCCCTCGCCTTGCATACCATATTACTCCACATCAAACAGTTCCTTGTAATTCTTTCAATATGAATGTCTCCCTCTGTCCATACCACAAAATCGCAAAACTCAACACCACACACGTGTAGCTGTGTTTGGACCTGGAACATATACTGGTGGTGGTGGTGTGTGAGATGTAGCCTTCCTCCACTGAGGTCTAGGCATGAATTTGGAGTCTTGGCATATTTTTCAATGCTGTCATGTCTTGCACAGAAAGGGCACTTGATTTCCAGAACACCAGCACCACAGCTATCACACGATGTCTGTCCATCAGGAGATGCACCAATAAACGGGTTATTGGTATCAATTACGAAACCCTAATGATATAAAACAAAATTCTCATGACTTTCCTCCAATAATTTCAAGTACTCTGTTCTAACCTGCTTCTCGTTGTGCATCCCGTCTTGTAGCTGCCGATGTGAAAGATGAAGACTGAGGATAGCAGATGTTCTGAATGAGTGACCAGGACGGGAATCTGGGTTTGAGTGACACACCTGTCTCATTCTTGAGGCTGTTATTCTGCCAGCTCTAAAGTTGTGCCATAGTTTGCTGTCAGCTTGATCCTTGGTAGCCTGCTCCACAGCACTGACTTCAGCCAGTGTGACAGAGATATCTGTAGTCTGACATTTGTCCAACAGATCTGGAAATGAGATATCACCAAAGTCCTTGTTATAGAGTTCAGTCTGTTAAGCTGGGAACTGTTCTCTCAGAGTCGTTGGGATGAAGTCAGTGCTGTGTCCAGGAACAATGCGTAAGATGGCAGCTTTTGAATTGATGGTTTTCAGTTTGGAAAAAAGGTCCACAAACTCTTCATCTGTAGCAGGTGGCACTGTCCGGCTTGACCTTTTTCCTTGTGTTTTATCCCTCTCAACTGTCATGAGAATCTTTCGCTGCGCTTCACTGGAGGAAAAGTCAGTGTCGTAAGCTGATCTGTAAGTGACATCCTGTGCAGAGGGGGGGTGGCTTCCAGTGTGATGGTTTCTCTGACTGTGGCTGAATCATGGATTCTTGATGTGGTTTCAATATAAAAAAGAAGTGCGCTCACATTGTTAAGTACCAGACTTCATCAGTCGGACTTAAATTTTTGAAGATGTAACATTAAACAATGTGCCAGTTCTTGGGCCTTGGTGTTGTGCAACTTGTCTCTCAAGACAATTATTCACTGGAACATTCTTTAACACACGTTTTTTGTGAAGTACCCACATAACAATTCTGGCATGATAACCTGCCTGTGAAATACTCTTGCCTTAGAAGAAGTATATTCCCACAGTAAAAAATCCTTTCTAATTTGCTTGCAGTGGAAAACACCAGGAGACCATTATGTCCTCTATTTTGGTATCAGCAAAATCTGGGCTTCTACAAGTAATATTTACACAGAGATTCAGGGAGTACTGCCCTGGTGAAAAACTCCCTCACCTTGCATACCATGTCATTCCACATCAAACAGTTCCTTGTAATTCTTTCAATATAAATGTCTCCCTCTGTTCACACCACAAAATGGCAAAACTTTACACCACACACGTGTAGCTGTTTTTGGACTTGGAACATATACTGGTGGTGGTATTTGAGATGCAGCCTTCCTCCACTGAGGTCTAATTATGAATTTGGAGTCTTGGCATATTCTTCAATACTGTCATGTCTTGCACAGAAAAGTCACTTGATTTCCAGAACACCAGCTCC